GACAATAATATTGCTTGTCGCAACAATTTTCGTGACAATATATAGCACAATAAAAATTCCTTATCGTGACAGGCCTAGTGTAAGCACCTTACATTGCTCAGCTTCAAACATGCTGTTGTTAATAATCAGTATGAATGATGATGCACAAATATTGCGTCCCGGAATGTTTGCGAAAATGTGTGTTATCTATGGTGGCCTCTGTAACACATTGGATTTTTAAAAGCAATTCAAATAAATTAAATTAAATAATCATTTTATTTTAAGTTACATTGCAATGCATTTTGTTTTTATTTAAAGAGGGTTTAAAAAAAATATTTTTTATTTTATTTCTGAGAACAAAAAAAAAAAAAAAAGCATCTCAATACCAAACTATTTTGTGCCATCATAAGGAATTTGTTACATGCTTATATTTGACATGCAAAATTATTGGCCTGCATTCAGTCTCATTGGCAACAGTTTCCTGACGAATAAGAGCAGTGTTTAACAGCCCATGTCTGCAGTATGACAGCTCACCTTATCCTGGATACTTAAGGTCAGTGAAATGGGACACACTTTATTAACTCCTGGCATCTCCCAAGTTCAGAGCTGAAAGTAAAATGAACTATTTAGTGCACATCATTTGTATAGATTTTCTACTTCTTTACGTTCATTCAAGCTGGCACTTTCTTGTCCTTTTTATACCCCTGGTCTGACATGTAGGGGTGCATCCAGGCAAAAGCAATCGACTGCACCCTCAGAAGCTTCCCCCATGTAATTTTGATGGAACCATCCTTCTCTCCAAACCATTAAACAGTCACATATTGCACTTGACAACACATGCATTTCACCAGCAGGTGTTTCTCCGCGGGCAGCAGTTTAAATGTCCAAAAGTGACTCATCCCTTGAGTTTCCAATCTGGCAAACGGCTTATGCCTCTTACAAGGGTTCCTGTGTGCTGTAATGGCAAAGGCCCCGGCTCGTTTCGGATCAGGATAGAATTTGTCCAGAAAGACTTTCCTAAATGAAAAAAAAAAAAAACTTGAGAGAAAAGTTTGATAAGAAATTACCCAGAAACAGCACACACACAGAGAAGTGCTTGTTTTCTCAGTTTCATCAGACAGTTTATCTGTTGTAGGCACCATGAAAGCATAGGTGCTAAATGACTACAGGGGAAGTCTAACTTTTAACTACTTATGAAAAGTAGTGACATATCTAAAGTCAGTGTTGGGTAAGTTACTTTAAAAAAGTAATAGATTACAAATTACTGACTACTACTGGATAACTGTTATCTGATTACATTACTAATTATTTAATCTAAAAAGTAATCAGATTACTAATTACTTTCAAGTTACTTTTAAAACATATAAAATATACGCATAAATATACAAAATAAACTGCAGCTCTTTTAGTAATTTAACCCTCAGGGGTCAAAGACCACGTATACATGTTTTGAAGCATCTTCTCCTGATAAAGCTGAAAAGAACTTAAATTACATTTTCAGTTTTGATCGTACAGATAAGAGCAATACATCAATCAAATCTGTTAGGTGTCTAGTTTCTTGTGTACACTTACAATAACAACTTAAGTGTGTGCTTTTGCAAAATAAGGAATTAAACAGTGTAGGCAATCTTTCTCTTCTCTCTCTGCGAACTGTTTTTAGAAACACGTCAGTAAAATGCGCTGAAACTCAGCAAAAACAAAACACACAGACATGGGACAAAAATCCATAGAAAGATTGAAGTGTCTACTTTTAAGCGCATGCATATTAACTGACATTGCACCGAAAACGTGATTTAAAAGAAGCATTTTTTTCTTCCAAAAACTATATTTGAAATGTAATGCAATGACTTTAGTAACTGTAATCAGATTACACAAATTTTAAATGTAATTCTTTACATTACTGCAATCCTCAAAAATGTGATTACAATACAGTGACATGTTATTATGGAACGCATTACACCCAACTCAGCCCACAATGATCAAGTGTAGAAAGTAAAAAAAAAAAAAAAGCTCCATTCATTAAGTTTATTAGCATTATGTCAAATGTCACCCCACTTTCAGGGAATTAAAAAAAATCTACAATTTATATTTATGTACATATTAAAATTTACTCCCTTAAAGGGCACCTAGGTTACCCCTTTTTTCAGATTTAATATGAGTCGTTTGTGTCTCCAGAATGTGTCTGTAAAGTTTCAGCTCATAACACCCATCAGATTTTTTATTATATATTTTATAAGATTCTATTTTGTACATTTTTGCACCAGGAGGCTGTTTTGTTATACTGCACCTTTAAGACTTGTCCTCCCCACCCACCGTTTTTACATGCCTTAATCTCCTCCCTCGGCTGTGTCAGACAACAAACAGACATAAAGGAAGCAGATCTCACGTCGCGTTTGTGAGAAATACTAAAGTAAGAAATTTATTAAAGAGCATTTGATGGATTTGTTGTGTTAAGATGAGTCAACTTAACGATGATTCACACACAATGTTGTTACAAAGTTCATGCGCACACACAGCGCAGCAGACAGACAGACAGACACAGACACACAGACAGACAGACAGACAGACAGACAGAGTGCGCAATTAGCTTTGCACTCTTTTTGCACGAATATGTGACAGGATACAGGTTAATATCTACTGCTTTATGGATATCTGTTATGTAAATGTACAAAATAAACCTGATTTAACGTCCACAAACCAGGATTGAAGCGTCTTCTTTTATAATTGTTTTAACACGCGGCTGTGCTGATGAAGTGAATCTGAAGTTATCACTGTAATTCATTACACACGTGCACTGTTTTAAAACATTTTAAACTTGAAAAACTCACTCTTTTTGATCACATTTGATGATGATTGTTGATCCTAGCAAACTGAACAGACCTTTTATTCCCGTTTGCTTTGCACATGCCCGTTCTTGTTGATATGATTATACACGTGACCACCGGGACATGTTATATGTAGATGTCAATCAAGTCGGTGGACGGAGGGACCACACTCCTACGTCAAGTTGTGGTCGATCTGTAGATTTTTCACCATAGGTGCCCTTTAAGCATTTTGATATGTTTTATATTTTAGTTGAATAGGTTTATTTGAATAATTTTATGAGTATTTTTGTCCATTTTTGTTGCTTGTCTGTGCAAAATTAAACTTCAAAAATTTTTTAATGGAAAAAGCGAAAATGACTCTTCTGATGCATCATATCAAAAACCCTGTTTTGAAACCATTATTTATTTAGAGCGTACTAATATTTTCTGGCAATTATTTGATGCTCTGTGATTGCTTACTTTTAGTCTGCTTCGACACAATCTACATTATAGAAAAAAAAGAAATCTAGAAATAAAGATGGATACTGTAGCAGTCAAAAGAGCCCACACAAGTCTTAATTATAAAATAAGTTCTTAATCAAACAATATTCTGATATCCTAACATTTTAGGTCTACGCTATAACATAATATGTACACAATCTTCACAAAAGTAGCATGTTTACTATTACCCAATAATAGTAATATTCACATAATATGACTTGAATAAGTTTGACAAAGTTCTTGGAAATGAATGCCTTTTATTTTGCATTGTGTTCATCAATGCAGCAAACTGTACATATGGCTGGGCACAAGAAAATAAAGGCGACAGTGACTTCTTGGCATTGCGTAGCTCCGACATTCCACAGACCTTTGGGATAAGACAAATCAGACTTTTCTACAAGAGACTAACTCAAAGGAGCCCAGCGAAGGCTCCTGACCATCCAAATATTGATGTAAGTGTCAATGCTCAAACGAACCATGTCTGGACAGCAGTGGCATGTAGCAAGCGTTCATTCATTCATTGTATCCGTCGTTTTGGACCATTACCAAACATATTCTGACAAGCTATCCGTACCCCTTCCCCTCATTAAGCTCCTTTTACGCTCGGCTACAGACTCAGCATGTAATCACACATACCCTTACAGCCAGTATTCTGAACTTAGCCATTATCTTGCATAAAATTGACATCTATGCATCAGCGTTCCTTGGCTCATATTTTATTCAATACTTCTTGCCGCAAATTTGGCAAGGAAATGTAAACTGAATTCCTGTTCAATGATTTGTTTTTATTTTAAATGTGTTCCGTCTCCCAAAGACACATGTAAACAATTCATAATTCGGCGATGTGAATAAAGAACACCCAACAGGATTGCAAATTACAACGAGCGCCAGGGCTCTTCAATTGTGTTTCGTTATCCCTGAGAACCTTATTCATAATGAAACGAACTAACCTTCTGAATTATACAACAAAAGTTCAGCTACAAGACCATTAAATATGTATACTGCCTAGAGCAGGGAGTTTTACACCCATACACACACAATAGTGCAGTCGCCACAGATATATTGGTTAGGGTTGTGGTATCTCTTCAAGTGCCAACATCTGGCAGAGAGCTAGTAAAACAGATCCTCCGGCGCTACACTGTTTAAACCAGCGAGACGCGTTAAATGAGCATCACTCAACATGCCTAAAGCAAACCAGCTCCCATTATGATCTACTGTTCCCATCATCATCACCTACTGTATCATTCCTATGCTCAGAAGAGGAAATGTCTGTGTGTATTCGAGAATCAGACTACATAACCAAGACTAGACGATTAAACCAGACAAGACTTTTTAAAATAAGCATTTACAACGGAACGTGACGGGCCCAGAATTACAATAGTCATGAATTAAACTTTCAGAATTAATTTGGAAACATTATTTTGATCTTTGATTTTTTTCTTTTTTTTGGCATTTCCTTTTTTTTCTTTTCATTTTATTTTGTCACAACTGACAATAAAACATGAGGAAAAAAAATACTTGCTTGAATACATGTCCTTATATTTGCTCTTGTATTTTGGCCCTAGTATTGTATTGAAAATATTAAAATATTTGAACGACAGTTATTCAAACATTTAAGGCCACAAAGTTCAGCTACAACAACTTTCTTCACCTTTTTTTGTCGTCCAAAACCATGATGTCATACGGCATTTTTTCCCCCTTTTTTGTTTTGTTTTCTTTTTTTTTTAACAAAAAATATTTGCAGATACGATTGTACACATTATTCCTCCCCACTGGAATGATAGTGATGGCGATGTTTCCTGGCGATAACTGCTTTTCCCCATTAAACACCAGCCTCCCATCACATGTACGGGACCCTGGCGAGTGAGGGTCCAGTGTTGCATAGATTTCACGTGTGGATTTCAGTAACTGAAGTCACAGTATTTGGAAAAACAATTTCACTAAATATCTGAGGAAAATTAAATAAAAAAACTAAACAAAAAGCTAAACTTAAGTGTTCTGATGATGTTACATTGGTATTACAAACATAAGGGCACAGCTGTATAAAAAAATAGCCTTTTTAGCTGAGGTTTCAAGTCTGTGGCGTCAGTGCTGGGATTTCCCTGCCCAAGTCACAGTGCAATGATAGGCTCCTCCCACCGTCAGGAACCACGCCCACCCTACTAGAGCTCCTCTTTCCGCTTGCCCACTTTTTCTTGGTCTCGGCCCCTGAGATTCCTCATGAAACCAGTAAAGCCAGCTTCCTGTAGATATAGACAGTGCTCACAATGAGAAAAAAACAACATTAATTTAAAAACATTTTCATCCCGCAAAAAAGGATACATGAAATGTATGACAAACATTTAGCGCTAGAGCTTTCATTTATATAGCACTTTTCTAGACACTCAAATCACTTGGCAGATTGGGGGGAATCTCATCATCCACTACCAGTTTAGTGTCAAATCAAGAGGCAATTGTAAACAAAACAAAAATCTTTTTGAGACATTTTTTTTTTGTTCTCAAGTTGTTTTTGATTTGATGTATGAAATCAGTACATCTCAAACGTTCACAAGGATAAATTTAGTAAAGCAACCATATCTGTAAATCATTTCATTAATGGTAACACCAGAAACACATGTGAGATTACTTCAGGCAAAGGATAATGCAACAGGATATGACCATGCATGCTTAGTAAAGTAATTATGACCTAGGATTATATAAAAATAACTAAATATTAAAAACAAATACATTAAATAATAATAAAACAAACTTAATCAAACTTTAATTACGACCAAAAATATTTTAATCATGACCCAATAATAAGAATTTCAAACTATGTGAAAGTATTAAAGGGGTGGTCCACTACGATATCATATTTTAAACTTTAGTTGATGTATAATGTAGCTGTGTGAATATAAACAACATCTCAATGTAATATGTGCAAAGTTCAACGCAAAGGGAAACAATGACTTTTACAAAGTTAGCTTAGCTAAGCCTACAGCGAATTAAGTTTGGGGACTACAAAAAATACATCCGGGTTAGTGCGATCAAAGACGCTTTAGGTTATGCACATTCACCACGCACATACACCCCGTGCAGCGAAGGGCCGTAGCTAGAAGCGATGTAATGTTTGAGCAGAAAAAAAGTTAAAATGCCATCCAAACTTTACTATTCCCTCAGAGCTTGTCTGATTCAGACACACACTGACACGGCTACACTGACTGACAGTATTTACAGAGCCAAAGCACAGAGCGTGCTAGTGATTGGGCATGACGCTTCCTGGTGATGTGGAGCCAATCCGCAAATCAAAGCACGTTATGTTATCTGACCAATCAGAGCCTCTTGAGGGCGGGCCTTTCGGAGGAACTATGTAGTTTTCATGTTAGCTGAGAACTATATAATCAAAGTAAGGAATATATATATAAAAGAATGGATTTTTTTTATTAATGAAGCATGAACACACATTGCTTTGCATCTTATGAACACAACCAAGCCTTAAAATTTACACTCTAGACCACCCCTGTCAGTTATTAAAAAATGATTCAAGTAACGATAAGCATACAGTATGTGAGATTACTTTGGGCTCATTATCATTACTTTAAAATAATGCACTAAAATACTACTAAAAATAAAATAGATAAAAATAAAATAAAACGTCTAATCTAAGATACATAACACATTTTTTTTTCAAACACATTGATCATTGTGCTTCAATTGAAAGTAAAAGATTCCTTTTCTAAAATAATACAGCTGAGCTTAGATACTTTACCACATGCAATGACAATTATTCAAATATGCCCTAATATAGCCACCTAATTAAATTTAATTCACTCACATTAAAAAACAAAAAACACGTACCCCTCTTTCCCCATTGTATTTTTCGCTGAACTTTCCATAGTTGTAGTAGTTGAATGTTGGATAGCCTTCAACTCCCTCCTGTTTACACAACTCATGATTCTGTCCCTTTGTGCAGTCCACTGCAGCATATGCAATCTGAAAGAAATTAAAACAGGATTATTTTGACATGGAACTGTTCTATCATAGGCTAAGTACCCTTAATTTCTCTTAGTGTGTTGTATAAGATGCTATTACTTTAATAATTTGATCTATACAGAGCTGTGGTAGCATCCATCAAGATTTTTTAAAAGCATGTTTTTAAGTAAAAAAAAAAGAAAAAAAAAGACATGAGCAGTGCAGGATGTATTCTGTAGTGAAATATGCTGTCAGATCATGGTTTTGTTGTTTACGCTCCTGAGCCCCTTAGAGACCCTCTATGCCAAACCGAAGAGAGGATTTACTTTCCCCAGAGAAAGCTATAAATTTGAAATACAACTACAAAGATACATATTGCATAGTGTGTGTGGACTGAATTGAACAATGCTTTGGGTTTCTAATTTACAGAGATGTAAAACACTGCTCAATAATCTATAAGGCTGCATGACTGCACATTTGAATCTTCTTGACTACCATTGGCATTTACATAAACATTCTTCTGATATGGCAAAAACAATTAAGAAAGAATGGCAGCAACATATAAAAGCGCAAAGCTGGCAGTCAAAAACACCTAAAATCATAGTTCTTTGCCCTTTCGAGTAGATATTTTAATGTGTGAAAACGTAGCTGTGAAATCTAACAGCACAGCTGCTTTGGCACTGACTGAACCGTTTCGCTCGCTGTACCCCTACGTCCTGAATTTAGCCTGCCGTTTTTCTCTAAGGTAATGAAAAATGAGTAAAACATTTCTGTCAAGAAATGCCATTTAAAGCAGCGCTGAAAAAAATAATAGCAAATACCCCAACATTTAAACAGCAGCACAGATTTATGCCCAGGACATCAGAGGATGGCATAAACAATTGAACCATAAATGTATCTTGGCAAAGAGCCTATTTCAATGATGAGGTGTTGTCAAACTGTGTTTTAGCTTCGCCAACTACGATTTATATCATCACTAGAAAAAGTGAAAACAACTCAAAGCTTTATTTGGACAACTAAGCATTTATCTTCATTGCAACAGTGTTTGGTGCACTACAATCACATTAGTTCAGTCAACTCCAAATAATTAATTGCATATTGTGGTTATTAGGGCCACACACCAAGCTGATGGTCAGCTCTTGGGCTTTGTTGGTCTGTCAGTCAGTGATGGTCCAAGTTGGTCTAGTGCGTTCCACATGTCGCCTCTCACTGGGTTATGAATTGGCCCCCATGACAAACTAATTGAATAGCCCTGCCCCATGTAGTCCACCAAACCCCAGTCCTTAACCCAACCCTCATTAGAGGATGAGGAAATAAAACTAAAATGTATGAATGACATTCAAAAAAGTCTAATTGCCTTGAGATTTCCACTTTTATACAGCTAATTGAGTTATTATGACTAAACTGCATAATCCCACCTTTCTAGACAGTCCTATATAATGTACAGATTGGCTTAAAGCAGCTTTGTAGAGCTCAGAAAGCAACAACAGAAAATCAGATACATTGATTGGAATCTGTTCAGTGATGATTCAGTTCTGTTCAATGCAAATGTCAAAGTTGAAGGAGGTGATTCAACTGTAGGTCGGCTCTACTGAACCCATCGCGGAAATCAGAGGGCCCTAAAGATTACAGGGTTTCATTGGTGGCTTGTGATTATTCAGTCTTTACATTGACAACAGGAAACGGAGAGGAAAGGGATTGTTTATTTGGTTGTCAGCCAATTCTAGTATTGATCTTTGTTTGTTGGTGGATAACCCCCCTGGCTCTTGACTGATCTTGCTATAACCTCACCAATAAGCGGATGTAAGCAACAAAAGACGCATAGCCTGTGAGGAAACTCAGGATTCTGTGCTTACAGAGGTTGGTTTATGAGATGGATGAGGTTAAAAAAGTCATTCACAAAGGCAGAGAGATCTTTCTCAGACAGTAATTATCAACCTCGCTGAGAAAGAGCCCAGGTCATTGCGCAGAGGAAATAAAACAGGCAGTGAGCTCATGAATATTACAGAAGAGACAGAAATAAGTTGTTTCCTTTGAATTTGGTGGTATTAAGTTAAAGCAGGTCAACAAAGGAACATCTGAACCAAGACTAAGCTTTATACCATTAGTCTTTTTTTCACAATTGAAGCATGTTGTACTTAATTGGGCTGTATCTGTTAGCTTCTTCTACAAAAACTGTTTAATAGTCAAGCAAAAACAACAGCGTGCAAAGGGGCTTTACTTTAAGGATTGGTGGAATGAGGTTCTAAGTCCTGCGATGCTAGAAGGCTTTTCAAGATGATTACTAATGCAATGTACATCAAAGTGCACTAATGAGAACAGTGGAAACAGGAGGAGATAATTGGGCTCTAAATGGAACCAGAATCACAAATGTTTTATACAATCTAAACAAACCTTTGTTCATGTATCAGAGTCATGTTCATTTGCAAATACAACAGCTGAACTGCTCTAGAATTCCTTTGATATCGCAATGCATAAACATTGATGGGAAGGGGTGAAAAAAACTCACAAAAGAGCAAAAAATGTTTTTTTTTATTATCTGAAAATCAAACAAAATCAAAACTAATATGAGAATTGAATGAATAGCAATTAGTTATAGGTTTTTGAGATATGCAAATCTATATGTTCTAGACCTGAATTGTCTCGTCTTGAATAATATACTGTAGTGCTCATTTAATTGCAATTAAGGAATGACTTTATTTAACTTTTTTATTTATATACATTTAGTCAACCCAATACAATTTTAAAGGTGCAGTATGTAAGTTTGACACTCAGTGGTTAAACTAGGTATTGCACACCAGGTTCGAAACACATGCAAGTGCAGGTTGCCAGATTGATGACATCTACAGAAATGTGCCTGACTATCAAGCCTGAAGGATGATTCAAGGCTAATTCAGGTCGTGTTCTAAATAAAAACAATGGCAACCAACACCTGAAACTTATATTTTAGAAACGATTTCTATTTCTTGCAGCTGAACAACAGGATAAATAACAATAATCACCTCAGGTACACCCCATGTGCTTTATTCAGTGTTAAATGCTAATAATGTGAGTTTGGATGCCATTTCTCATGACATTTATTGCCATACTACTGAAAGCAGCAGCATAGAACTTTAGAACTGTGACTCAGTGCAAGCCAGCACATATCAGTGATTCAGCATGTACATTTAATAATGGTACAGAGGCTTAATATGTATTAATTAGATTATAAAGCTTACCCCTTCACTGGATTACAGTAAGAGAAATATTCTGTACTTCTGAATGTCTATATTTGAATTTCTGTGGCGTTGCATCTGGTTTAAACAGCCAAATTGTTTATCACTGCAAATCTCATCACGTAGTGTGTTGTTAGGACACAAGGTTACAATGTAACCTGCTCACCTAATGTTTACTTTTTTATTATTTATATTATTTTATAATTAATAGCCTCATGTGGGACTCTGAATGTGCGTCTTATTTCAGAGTCTGCTACTGTCCACCGGAGGTCACATTTCAGTCTCGGACGCATACTTTAAAAAACCTTCCTAAATGAATGAATCACACCTGGGGTGCTGAAATATAATTGGCCAAACTAGCATTGGATGGGTTAAATGACCAAAACAAAAGCAAAATTCCGGCACGTAATGCACATTTTCAAAGTAAAATATCTGACTTCTTGTTTTTCAGACAAACAATTATGTTCACTTAGCATGTTTCTTAAATATCAGCAAACATATTATAGTATTTTTATGCATTAGAAAAGTCAAAAACCTACATACAGCACCTTTAATATAAATGTGGCAGTGGTACCCTTTCTTGCACATCTCTGTATTCATCAACTGTGTAGCTTAAAAAGGTCATAAATAAAAAAATATATTAAAAAATGACATTTATGGAAAATTAGAACTCGGCAGTGTACTTTTCTCTGTCTCCTTTCTATGTAACTCACGTCACAGCCTTTTTTCCATATAGAGAAATATAGTATTCACTATGTAGTGAATAATGCATAGGTGAATGAATGAGCAGTTTCATATACAGGATATGAAGTAGGAATAATTGACGTTGGGTCAATGAATTATTGAAAAAGTAGAGTGTGCATTATTTTTCAATAATTTCAACAGTCCAGACTCAATTATTCCAAACCTCAAGACATTAGTTAGATGTTTTTTCCCTAAGAAATGTGCCAGTCCTTTCTCCTTAAACCATTGTCATTTCTTATGCATCTTATTCCAGGCTTGTGATGCCAAATAAGTTATTGTTGATATACAAGTTATACGGGTGTGTATGTATGTGTGAAAAAGATGGAAAAAAGCGAGTCTGTAATTTGAACTGCTTGTAAAACAGTGACACTGCGCTTTGTCTCAGCCTCAGACATCAAGCCCTCAGAGGCCTAGCTGAACATCTGAAGCATATGGCACACACAATATGAAAGATTTTAGACACTTTAAATGCATTATCTAATTGGAAATATACAATGTGTTTTTAAAGATCCACTTAGAAACAAAACTGTCATGATGTCCTGAAGCTGTTGTGTTAACAAGCACTGTTTAGTGACCATTTATACACTGGGTTTTCAAAAATACTGTATGTGTAGTTAGACCCAAAGCCTTTAAAATACATCCTAGAGTTTTGAACTCTGGTCAGTTAGGGACATCACAGTAGAAATTTCCACTACCCTAAACACAAGGCTGATAAAAGCGAGCTTTGACTGCTTGCTTTACATGTCAGGCAGAGTGGTCCTGGGTCAATGAAAGCGGCAAAGATGTCCAGACCTTCTGTCACAAGCCTGAAGAACTGGCTACGCAAGACTACACCACTCTATTGAGATGTCATGTAGCTTTTCAGTCACTTACAGAAAAGCCATACAGTGTGGAGCACATTTGTTAAAGTTTCACTATAGAAAGCTTACATGATCCTATTCAAGCGTTTCAAATGTGCAAATATTTTACGTGATTTTAACATAATTGTAAATCTGAAGATCATGTTTTTTTAAGGGGTTTTAAACTATTTTCTTGCAAAAGTTGATCGCAAATTTAATACAACAAAGTTCATGTGTGTTATGGTTTGCGTGAGTGTGTATTTGTACAGTGTAAGTTCTCATCCTGTTGTTTGCTTGGTTGTTGTCTTTATGAGTTTTAGTTAATTTGCTCAGTAATAAGGAACTATAATGTGGTTGTGCTTGAACTACTTCATAGCTTTTTGTTTACATAAATTACATACCTTTGAACATTGATCAACCAATCAGAATAAAGCAATGCGCAAATGTAATGCTCATGTGGATCAAAATGATGAGTCCAGCTCAAGGTAGTTTGTCTATGTGAGGAAACAAACTCTGTTTATTAAAGAATGTAGCTCAATGTTTGGAAAAACCAGCAGATGGAGCTTCATGAACAGAGCTTTTATTCTTAAGACAATATCTGTTTTCAATAACATCTTTAAGGGCGTTGGCTTAAATTCTAAGACAGAAACTCTCGGAACGGGCTCCATTTGAATCTTGGCAAAGTCAATTTCCAAATGCCGTTCATCTGAATAACGATTATGCGTGAGTTTAAACTTAAGAGCTTTAAGGAAATTAAAGAGGACTGACGCTGTGCCTGATGAATTACAGACATTTGCAAACAACAATTCAACATCACCCGCTTTTGGCCAGTGACAAATTTCTGCAGCTATTGAAGCCAAGGGAAATGTTTTTATAGGCCCCTGAAGATCCAAGAGAGCCAGCTACTTTCAAAGAAGTTTGTGGAGAAAGAGGAAAGATTTAGAGAATGATGAAATGTCAGCGAGTAGATCTCATATGGAGTGTTGCTCAGAAAGATGTGTCTGAAGTGGGAAAAAAGTGGAAACATCGGCACTCCTCAAAGTGAAAGCAATGTGTAAATTTGGGCCAAGCCCACATTACAAGACTTCATGTTTTAAATCTTCAACAAAATGCCACAGATAACAGCCAACTCTAAGCATGATGTGTATGCGAGATGAGAATAGAACCAAAAAAAAAAAAAAAAAAAACTTCATGTGAGGAAGTGTCTCCACTTCAATATGATTAGCTTTTTACTTTGATTATGTTGCAACTGGTTTGCAACCATGACAGAATAACGGATGTCACGTGACTAGCAAAACTCAATAATGACTTCAAGACTAGTGACAGGTTTGGTTTGAGAGCAGCATAATGATATGAAATACTATTGACAAACTTCTGCTAAATGGAAAATATGATCTACTTATAGCAAAACTTAAGTTTAACTGCTTCAAGAAAAGAGCTGTTTTTTTATGCACTCACCGGCCAATTTAGTTAGTGTTCTACTGCTCTTTAACAAAAATTTCTAATCAGCCAATCACATGGCAGCAACTCATGCATTTAGGCATGTAGACATGGTCAAAAGAATCTGCTGCAGTTCAAACAAAGCATCAGAGTGGGGAAGAAAGGTGACTTTGAACGTGGCATGCATGTTGGTGATAGACGGGCTGGTCTGAGTATTTCAGAAAGTGCTAAAGTACTGGGATTTTCATCCACAGCCAGCAGAGGAGAATAGCCAGACTGGTTCGAGCTGATAGAAAGGCAAAAGTAACTCAAATGACCACTTGTTACACCGAGGTATGCAGAAGAGAATCTCTGAATGGACAACACGTCGAAATTTGAGACAGATGGGCTACAGCAGCAGAAGACCACACGGGGTGCCACTCCTGTCAGCTAAGAACAGGAAACTGAGGATACAATTCACATAGGCTCAACAACATGAAATTTGGTGTCAACAACATGAAAGCATGGATCCATCCTGCCTTGTATCAACAGTTCAGGCTGGTGGTGGTAAAATGGTGTGGGGGATATTTTCTTTGGGCCCATAAGTGCCAATTGAGCATCCTGTCAATGCCACAGCCTACCTGAGTATATTGCTGACTATGTCTATCCCCATATGACCACAGTGTACTGATCTTCTGATGGCTAATTCCAGCAGGATAACGTGCCATGTCATAAAGCGTGAATCATCTCAGACTAGTTTCTTGAACATGAAAATGAGTTCACTGTACTCAAATGGCCTTCACAGTCAACAGATCTCAATCCAGTAGAGCACCTTTGGGATGTGGTGGACTGGGAGATTCACATCATGGATGTGCAGCCGACAAATCTGCAGCAACTGCGTGATGCTATCATGTCAATATGGACCAAAATCTCTAAGGAATATTTCCTGTACCTTGTTGAATCTATGCCATGAAGGATTAGGGCAGTTCTGATGACAAGGGGGTCCAACCCAGTACTAGTACCTAATAAAGTGGCCAGTGAGTGTATTTACACTGTACTGAGAACCAAAAGGGCTTTGTGTACACCTAATCCATAGTGGTTTGCAATCTTGTTTTCAAATTTTCAATCAAACCTTCTTTTGTTATCTTCAATGCGTGCACACACAATAAGATTGCTGCTGACCATTTGCTTTAAGAGAAATGCTGTGCAGATGTTATAATAAATAAATGCACAGACAATTGAAGAATGTTCAAATAGGTAAAATGCAGCATTGCAGAAGTGCTATCAAGTGATCACAGCTAAGTGTTTTTAAGAGTGGTGCCACTTCTCATAAGGAGTAGGGGTTGTAACCCCGGTGTCCTGGCCAAATTCCCTCCATCAGTCTTTATTCATCATTGCCTCCCAATCATCCCCATCCACCAAATTGGCTATATCACTGTCTCTCCACTCCCTCAAAAGCTGGTGTGTGGTAAGTACACTGGAGCTGTTGCCCTGAGGCAGCTGTCGCATCATCCAAGTGGATGCTGCACACTGGTGGTGGTGTGGAGAGGTTTATTACAAAATGAGGGTTAATATGAATAATCACTAAACACCGCGTTTTGACACCTATTTGACCATAAAAGCGCTCACGTTAATGACTTTAGATGCGTGTGCTCTCTGCTCGTCACAATGTGTGAATGAGACCAAGTGCAGACCGCATGCTTCTGACTGTCTGCACATACATAAGCATGTGGTCTTTCTCGCTTTTAAGAGCAACAAGTGAGGACAACTGGACAGGGGGCGGTAAATAATGGAATAATCGTTTATCTCGATTAATGGTTTTTCATAATTGTTAGAAGCCATAATCAAAATCGAAATCAGATTTTCGATTAATTGCACAGCCCTAAGAAATGATACAAATAACAATTCTCAATTTTTTCAGCAATTACAAAAAAAAGCCATACTTAAATCAAGTATGCCTTCATTTAATCAGGAACTGCATTTTTAAAATCAAGTAAATGCAACTTCTCCGAAAACAATCATACACCTTGCAAATTTCAAAAGGACCAATTCACTAAATTATGAATGTATAACTTCACCACAAGCACCAAACGCCAACACGAGTCTTTACAAGGACGAAGAGGCTGAGTTTTACAATGAGTACTTGACTTAACTGACAAAACTTGACCTGGCAGCATAATCTCCAACATACTTCAATAGTAAGATCAACAGAAAAAAATCTAGATAGATAAAGAGCAAGGTAAAGGACTGAAGGTCAACAGCATCAGACAGCACAGAGACTATGACACTGAAGACCTTGAAGATGTTCTGGAGATGAAAAGAGATGTGTGGAGGCTGTCTGAACAAGAGAGAGATCTTGATTGCGTCTGACAGAACCTGGAAGTCGTTTGAAAACGTTTGTTATTTTGAGTGTCTGGAAATCTCCTTAATGGTGCCGAGCCTCACCTTACGGTCTTCTTTGAACATCTCTGCTGCTGTGGTGAAATGAGGGACGGCATTCTTGCAGTGCGGACACCCTGGGGAAAAACAACAAGAGACAAGCATTCATCGAGCTGTCTCACCTTATATTGCAGAGAACAAACAGCAAGAGGTGATATACACCAGCATACACAAATAGAGAAGAAAACTAAAGCGAAAGAACCCAACACAATGATTGAATAACTTAAGACAATAACATCAAACAAAGTAATCCATCACTGTCTGTGTGTAGCAGGTAAGAAATGTCAAAATTCAATGGTACAGCATGTCAAAGGTAGATTTATTATTCTCTCAGACAGCCCAACGGGAGCTTTCCTGAGGCAGTGTATGTCCATCAAACTTCCTGAAGAATCAGCAAGAGTTTCTACTCTCAGAACTCCTAAACTTTAATTTCTATCATGTTCTTTTGAGGTGGTTTTGATACTGCGGGTGTTATTCTTATGAATTATGCATGGCATTTGGTGTGAAATGTTACAAATGAACAAGCTCCATTAAATAAACAGCTGCCTTAAGCTAAACCTTGCCAAATGGTGAGGCTACGTAGCCATGGGACAACCTTCCCATTTACTGCACGAGTTTAGCTTGTCACGAAATCTTGTTTGCGCACATCTGTGGTGCTTTACATCTTCAAAAAGAAAGTTACTCAAGTAAGCGAGCTCACTTTTGGAACGCTGGTGATTTTTAAATGGCAGTTAATGGCACGGTTATAATTTGGAGGGCTGCAAACAAAGGCCTGTTTGTTTGAGGAACAAGGCATCTAATTTAAGACGCACGAGGGTCATTATAAATAATGGAGCACAAAGTTGCGTACCTTCCCTTTTGGCTCATGTTGCTATTATATGTGGAGAAGAAAGGCTGGGCAGACCTCCAGACTCATGCAAGGTCGATGCCAGTCTGTCTCGGTGCCCAGTTAGATAGGCTAAGCAAGAACTCAAGGCTAAATTTAAAATAACAGCACATAATCATTTTTCATCATATGCAAGAAGAAATTTTGGGTGCGTTTCTATCGGCTCTCTAGTTCAGTAGAACGCACAGTGCCTTGAGGACAATTTTTAGGGTGTTGAGGGCACTGATGCAGAAAATGTGGATGGATAATAAAACAGTAATGTGGCGAATTGCGCATGCATAAATTAGAAGTAGTGCTAAAAAGACAAATGTCTGTGAAAACTGAAAAGCAAAAACTCTACTCATTTAAATATAAAGTCTGCATGTACTGCAGATTCATTCATTCATTTACTACACTAATACTCAAACGTGCATGATGTTAGTCACTTCATGAGCATTTTAACATTTTAATGAGAAAATTTATTGTCATATCATGAACAGTACACAGAAAATCCCTCCATATGAACAGAAATCATGAGTTGCTTTTCAGGCCAAATGGTCCCTAGTTGTGCTTCTACATGAGCCTAGTATGGCTCACTACAATTACAAACAATTCTAGGCCTATAATTCTAAACGGCTAGACAATCATGCTGGTAAAGTGCGTGTGTATGTGACGTCACCACTCTGTTGGTCGACTGGCAGTTTGGCTGGTTAAGCAGAAGTGTGCAATTTCTTTTTTTCTGATAATTATGAAAGTAAAAAGTCCAAAAAGTAGTAATATGGGGCAGGTTGCACCAGCAGTGCGCAAGTTAAAACGTAGCCTAGTTGTGACTTAAAGGGACACTATAAGTTACAACTTACACATTACTAAATATTTTTGTGTTGTACCACTGAACTTAGTTTAAACGTAACGCTACATTCCAACTAAATATTTACTGCAGCCTCCCCAATGTATAACGGTAGAAAAGAGACAACAGCAAGAGTAGTTTACATTGAGGAGCTCGCGATCATAATGAAGAACGATGTTCCTCTACTCACAGCCATAATTTCCTCCCAAATCTCACATTTGCTTCGGTTTGTGAAAGGAAAGTTTTATTTTTTCCAAGAAGTCTTTTGTGTTTATTGTAGCCGTCAATTAAAATGAGAATTTCTTCATGACTGAGTTTTTCTTCCTGATATTTTCTCTTGCATGTGTAAGATATAAAAATAAAATTCAAGTTTAATGTTTTGAGAACTTCATGTGTATTTCACCTGCATTCATGGCTCGCAAAGCAGGGGTTCGTTCTTCGTACCTCGCTTAAATGATCTAAGATGATTTGGCAGATCCGGGATCTTTTCATCTCGATAACTGATCTCTCGCTAATTTGGTTCTTCAAACGAGTTCGCGAATCAGATTAGAATGTCTGGATAAACTGATCTGAGATTTCTGCGTGTGTTGTGAAGGACAGATTTATCGATCCTCGAAATCATGATCAGCAAGGCAACGATTGGTTGACGTAACAGCAGCGTAATGACATCATCTGATTAATATTCAATTATCCATGTGAGCAAAATTACATTAAATTTGCAGTAAACAGTTTGTTAAATATGACACGCAATAACCTTCCACATTTGTTGTGAGCTGCAGGCTTTACACTTTCATGTGTCAGGTGTATTCATCATGTATTTTAATGCAAATCAATGTATTTAGTTCAACTTTAGAAAAGATTTTCTTTATTATAGTAGCCGTTTTTTAATCGGTGTAAAGAATAACTGGATGTTTACAAAAGCATTTTGATATTGGTAAAGGCATCTGCAACTTTTGTAAAGCATCAAATCACTGGCATATTAACTATCAAAACATGTTTATGACTGCATAAATGTATTATTGCTTTTTTTTTTACTCCATTGTACTAAAGCGATTTAAAAAGTTCATATATGTATAACTTTATTTATTTTATTAATAACTATAACTTTATATATAAATATTTACCATTTTCCCAAGTGTATATAACTACTACTGTAAGAAAATATCAGAATTCGGAACATACTTTATTATCTTTGTTTGAACTGAGCCAATCTAATCCTGTTTATATGAATTAAACCTGCTCCCGATCAGGTTTGACCTAGCTGAACTGTTGCTATGACAACAACTCTCGGATCAGCTTGGAAGAACGAAACGATCCTGGATCGTGTCAAATCGTCAATATCCAAATCCAGCTAACAGGGTAATCCATGTACGAAGAACGGACCTCAGATGTGTTTGTCATCTGTTATTAGTGGCTGACTATTCAAACAAGTGCTACAAAAATGTAATTTGTCCTTTAATTTTCATATTGGACAATTATCAATAGACACATAAGTTGCATAATTTTAAAGCAGTTAAACAATTTAAATGCTTTTAATTTGAATGCGACTATGCATGACTTTACGGAGAGCTTAAGACTTACTAATTACGCTTTTCCTTAATGTGGTGCAACCGAAGTAAGAATAAATTTAGTTACAAACTAGCTAGTAGTTACTAAGCCCCTAGTGTGGACTTTACATTCCAGTTTAAGAAAGAACTTATGATCAGCTGGTGCCACCCTACCATGGGATCTGTCCATATTGCTGTTTACATTACACTTGTGTTATCATGGCAACGACTGACACATTTGCATTTACATTCATGATGACTGGCCCGCTGGACCGGATCGGTACAGAATGGAATAGTTAAGCAAAAAGAACTGAACTACTGTATAGTAGATTTTACTTGCAGTATTAATGTAATAATAATGTTATTTACAAGGAATAATTGCACACACTGAAAAAAATAATTCATTAGATTTACTAAAGTTTTTTTTTAAGGTGATTGGTTGCAGACTGAATTTAAACAAACAAATTAAGTTAAACTTTACTCAATTTAATTTCTTTGTTGAAATTTAGCCCATTTCCCAGAGATGGGTTGCAGCTGGAAGGACATTTGCTGCGTAAAAAACATATGCTGGATAAGTTGGCGGTTCATTTCGCTGTGGCGACCCCAGATTAATAAAGGGACTAAGCCGAAAAGAAAATGAATGAATGAATGAAATTTAGCCTATATAAATTGTTTGCAACTGCTCACCTTAAAAATTAATTTTTAATAATCCAATAAATTAGTTTTTCAGTGCAGTTCTTCTTGTGCATTTTAATCATTACAAGTATAAAACAGAATTTGACAAGCACAGTAAATGACATTTCGTTATTATTAATTTTTTATTATTGTTATATTGAATGTTTCAATTACTGTGATATGCTTTTTGATTACGCATAATTATTACAACCAAAAAAACAGAGTCCAGAAACTGAAAATAGAAAAAAAAAGGGTTATAAAAATGCATTTCATAAGCTCCCAGGCGTTCAAATTGTCAAAAATGTTCCAGTGCACGGAAGCTTTTACTCCCTAGTCATTCCCAGAATGCACTAGAGGTGTACTAACTTGACATTGACATCTGACAGAAGGCTTATGAAATCCTAAGCCCTAGAGTCTGCTTGATATCCTCTAAGAACATCTTGTTTCAACTATCATGCTTGCTCCAAAGTGTTACCACTGTTATCAAGGGTGGCTAGGTGATATTTAAGCCTTCAGTTCAAATGCAAAGACATGCCTTATCATTAACTAAAAAAAAAGTTGCTTCTGTTGCAATGAAAGCTGCCCACTGTATGCTCATTGAATGGTGCCGTTCACCAGAACAAAGCAACACTGAATGAATCATTCAATCTTGGCATAGCATGGTTTTAAATCAATCACTTCTCTATTCAAACCAACATTTATTCCACTAATTAACTGTTTTGATTAACGGTCTTTAATATGCAATACAAAAATGGCTTTTTTCAGTTGAATCACATGAAAAATGAAGCTGTATGTAGAGGATCCAGTGAGACTGAGAGGTCAGTGGATATTGAGTGTGATACAATTCAGTCTAATGGAAAATAATTACAGCATTGTTCATTGATTACACGCTGCAATTATGTGAAACGCCCCAGTTATGATAACAAAAAGGCCATATTAATATGAAATTATGTTAACAATTGTATGCACAACTAGCAGTGTTGCTGCTCATAATGAAGAGAAGTCAAATCACTGATGTAATTTTCAAAGAAAAAGAGTCAGGCTATTGTTTAACGTGCAAAAAAGAAAAAAAATCCAGCTTATATTTTACCTTTAAAAATGATTAATTACAAAAGAAAATACAGAAAATGGCCTTTTTTCTGTATTATGATTATGACAAATTAGGCATATTTCCTCTTCTCCAGTTTTTATTACTGCAGTGCCTCTGCATACTGTACAGACATGGGAAAAAAATAAGATGCCATTTAAAATGTTTAGTTTTTCTGGAATCATATATTTTTTATAGTTTTGTGTTTGATTCAAATGTTTTTTTATGGTTATTCTGTAAACTATGGACAGCATTTCTTCCTAATTAAAAAAACAAAACTATGTTAGTTTAGAGCAGGGATTCTCAACCAGTGAGCCGCGGCCCACTAGTGTGCCTCAGCGATCCTGCAGGTGGGCCGTGAGATAGCTTAAGATTAACCCTCAATGTTGTACTATCATTTTTGGATTGTAATATTAATTTGCTATATTAAAATGATCAAAGTTATGCACTTGCTCCTGTTCTCTGTGGAGCTGTTCACTGTTCCTGTCAGCGATCTCCCCATAATATCTAGCTGCAAACTCAACCGCTACCAGATCGACATTTAGGGTGTTTTACTGTATTTTACATTTGTCTATACATTTGCATACTTTTAAATAGTAGATATTTCATCGTTAATATTCAGTCAGTCCAGTTTAAAGCAGAAGCTGGTCTTTTGCAATCTATTAATATATTATATTAATATCTTTAAATATATTAATAAATAAAGGTTTAAATGAGCATTTCATAAAAACATTTTAGACAAAATATTAGACTGGAGGGCCTTTAAAAATTGATTGGAGATTGAAGTGGGCTTGAGCGCATTTAAAAATAACACCATGTCATATTTTTTAATGCCATGTCGGCAGTTTTCACTGCAAAAAGTATTAATTTAAAATAAAAACAAAACAAAAAAACTCCAAGAGTAATTCAATAATATTTTTAACGTTATATATGATAAAGAAATCCTGGTAAACTATGCTGAATATCTCTTTAAGTTATTAAAAGCAGGACTAAGGAATAAGAACCTATGACTTTTCAAATGGTCTCTGACATTTTTTTTGTAGTGCTGTATATTAACAATACTGAAGTTAGTATGTGATAAAATACACTATAAAGCGTAATTACCTGCACACGGTTTCTTGTTTTATGTTTTATGTCAGAGAACGTGCATCAAATGACAAGATCCGTCTCCCTGACTATTGCTATGATCCGGAGATTTGTTTACACACAAACTCAAACACATAGCAACGCTGCAATTCTTGACAACAAGTCAACAAGCAACATGAAGAAAAGAAAAGAAAATGAACTGAATGCCAAAAAGGATGAGACAGTGTTGAGGAAGACGTGGGCAGCAGTTTGATGTTTTGTTTTCGGCTGTCTATAGTCCTTCTCTAGCAATTTCATTGGCTGTTGCTCATCACTGCTTTCTTGCTAGTGACAACGTGCAGACCAGACGACTGCTTGGCCAGATTTCAAAACCGTTTCAAATGCATTGTAGCATCTGCGCAAATTGGAAGAGTGTCACAATGAGTTGGGAACGATCTGGGGCAGATGGCGCAGTTGTACAATATATAAAAAGACCACAGATATTAGCATTAGCAAATAAATTATTAAGTAAAATAATTTAGAGAAAATAAATAGAAAATAAATGACTTTATTTATTTCTATTCATTTAAAGATACACAAATGAGAATAGAAATGAACAAAGTAAAAGTTTGTTTTCTTTTTTATTCCTGTTTAGAATATAACCAAGCCTTTGTCATTTATAAGGGATTTATAAAGCATAAATAGTCCTCACTTTGGATTAGTTCACATACCTGAATGAAGTTGAGTTAATAAAGCATTTATTAACATACAAAATAACTATTACTATATGCCTGAATAATTAGAATTATAAATGTTCATTTAAATAGTTTATTATTCAATTACTAACGCATTCAGAATCATCTTAAAATAGCACCAACTATTACTAAATAACTGGTTAGTAAATAATGCAAAACAAATTAGTAAAAAAGAATCATGAACAAAGTATGAAAACAATTATTAAGCAATGTTAAATGTGCTTATAAGTCAAGAATAGAGCATTTGTATATGTAGTTATAAACTGCTTTATCAGGGTATGTACAGGAATCAGAGACTGAAATTTAAAACATTAAAACTCATCGGCCCTTTAGGTTTCAACTGTTAACATTGGTGACATTTTAACTTACCGTGTATTTGATAAATACTGATTGTAAGAAACTAATCCTAAACTAAAACATTATTCACATACAAAATAAAATGCAAATCCAGCAGGTGGTGCCCTTAGAACAGCATAAAATAACGGTGTTGCTTTGGTTACTGCAGTAAACAAAGCAGCGTCATGTCAAATCTAGCTGGATTATTTTCGATTTCATAAACTACGTAGCATCCCACTATTCGCAGATTAAATGCTAGCATACAACTTTACATTATATAATTCACAGTGTGAAGGTATTAGTATAAGGGTTGTATAAGTGTTGCCAAAATCACCCTAAATTAAATGATGTTCATAATGCAATATGTATGAATACTTCACAATTTAAGTAAATAAATCTAGAGCATTGCAGTCATGAGAGCTGCCTTAACTAGTCTGTCATATTTCTTCTTCCTTGCAGCAGCTACCTTTGTCTTGTTCATTAAGAGTCTTTGTTAGGGCCCTATTCTTTGTAAAGCTAGTCTGGAACAATATGTAATACAAAAAGCACTATATAACTAAGGTGAATTGAAAAGAATTGCATTTCACAAATAGCAACTGACTATTAAAAGACACCAATAATTAATCTCCTTTTGTTTCTTTATGGTAAACATTTGTAATGGTTCAGAATTGTAAAGATATGCATACATCATATTTAACTGTTGATGCCTACTTAAACCATTGAAATAAAACATTATATGCAGGAAGCTACGGTGCCATTAAGCAGATGTTACGCCACCTGCACATTTCAGAGCTTCAAATAATTGCTGTCGCACATGTTGCTTTAGGAGAATGCACTAAAATTTGGACTCATTTGCCTATAACTCTGACTAAAGGATTGATAGGAGCCTGGATACGTGCTTTGAGACATAAACTACAGCTGCAGTATTTTAGAAAAAACAGAAGGCTTACATGGAGCATAAAACATGACCAAGGCGTGTTTCTTCTTTTTCAGCGATTCCCTGAAATCTTCGGCTCCCAGGTGGCTCACGCTGGACGGCATCTCATCCCATGACTTTTCTGGAGGAGGTGGAGCCTGGGGACTGAGAGCAAGAGAGAAAGAGAGCCTGTGAGATAATAGGTGAGCCGCTGGGAAGGAGATATCTGGAACTGCAACAATTACATCATGTTTGGTTTCTAGATAATAATACATTCAAATTATCAGGTTAATATAGTGATTAAAAGCTGTTGCGTATAAATTCATCAAAACTGGATGGTTTAAAAAATATTTAAGCCACAGAATTTACATTACTTAAAATAATTATTAAAATAAAGATAAAAATAAAACAACAATAAGTAACTATCCAGACACCATTACCTAGATCATTACCTTTAATTAACAGTTTCAGTTAAATGGTCATCTTCACTCTATATTAAAAAAAATCTCAGCTCAGACGCAAGTTTTAAACTATGCTTAGGCCACAGGTAATAATTTAAGTTTTGCTTATAAAATATTTGTATTTGCCTTTTTAACTCTTATTGTGCAGGCAGCCATTGATGCTTTCAGCTAAAAATCTACTTTAAATGGATAGTTCACCCCAAAAATAAAATGTCCTCATCATTTACCCACATTCGTTCTTTCATTCATTCATTCATTCATTCATTCATTCATTCATTCATTCATTCATTCATTCATTCATTCATTCACTTTCCTTCGGCTTAGTCCCTTATTTATCTGGAGTTTCCAAAGAGGAATGAACCACCAATTATTCTGGCACATGTTTTAGGTAGCAGATGCGCTTCCAGCCACAACCCAGTACTTGGAACATCCATACACCCATTCAGACACACACTCGTATATCATCCAATTCACTTTGGGCTGTGGGGGAAATTAGAGCACCCGGAGGAAACCCACGTGAACGTGGGAGAACACGCAAACTCCACACAGAAATGCCAATTGACCCAGTCGAACTCGAACCAGCGACCTTCTTGCTGTAAGGCAACAGTGCTAACCACTGAGCCACGCCGTTCTAAAAAATTTTGGGTAAAAAGCAGACTTTTTTTTTTCTTACTATGTCAACATTCTTCTTGTTTTGTGTTCAACAAAGCAAAGACGTTCTTAAAATGGTAAGGAATTTTTTTTTTTTCAGGTGTTCTATCGCTTTAATGTTGTACTGAAAAAAGAAAAGTCACATTGTGGCTCCAATCATTGTGTTTCTGAGAAAGTATTGATGTGAACTATTTATTAAGATTTTAATTAACATATTAAGCAATGGAACTATTTTAACACCAATAATGCATACTAAAAATGTACACAAAATATCTGTGCATTTAACTGATTTATAAAGAATCACGTGACGTGAAATTATGTGAAAATTGTAAATCTTTACCACATTTTAGAGTATTTTTAAAATAGGGTTTGTACATTTACAGTTGAAATAAGCATTATTAGCCCCCTGTATTTTTATTTACCCAATTTTTGTAAAGAATAATGTAAAGAGGATTTTTTTCAACATATTTCTTAAGATAATAGTTTTAATAACTCATTTCTAATAACTGAATTCCTTTATCTTTGCCATGATTTTGCCAATTTGCCATATTTTTAAAGATACTACTATTCAGCTTAAAGTTGCACTTAAATGATTAACTAGGTTTACTCGGCAAGGGTAATTAGGCAAATCATTGTATAACGATGGTTTGTTTTGTAGATAATTAAAAAAAAGCTTAAGGGGGCTAATAATTTTGACCTTAAAATTGTTTTAAAAATATTAACAACTGCTTTTATCCTAGCCGAAAATAAAACAAATAAGATTTTTTCCAGAAGAAAAAAATATTATAGGAAATACTGTGAAAAATTTGTTGCTCTGTTTATATACAAACATGTTTGCTCTGTTATATACAAATAATTCACAGGACAAATTAACTTAACAGGTCAAAACATGAGTGCACTTTCAGGTAGAAACAAACTAAACTGCAACTGGATATCATTTACAACATCACTACCTGTTATCCACAGCCTCAGGCAAATGGTCTTAAATGATGCCTGGTTCAAAAAACAAATCATTCATTTGAACGGAGTCTTCTTAAAGTCTACTTAATCGACTGAACCGTCTGAAAGAGTATCCAGGTTGAGAGATCACAAAGAAAAATCTGACATTCTCCATTTGCCTGAGGCTGCTGGATTGGAGGTAATAATGTTGTAACTCATGTTCAGTTTCTTGCACAGAACTATCGATTCAGTTCAAAAGACCTCAATGTATGGTCAGTACCCACAGGTATAAATTTTGCATTCCCTGATATGTTTTTGGATCTTATAGTGATGGCTACTATTGACTTGCACTATATGAATCACCAAGGACCAAATTTTGAGTAGAAGAAAAAAATAATTTCTTAAGGTTCATCTTGGATGGCCTGAGGCTGTTTAAATTAATGGCAAATTTTTTATATTGGAAGAAATAGCTCTTTATTTTTCGGCTCTCATAACTTCTTATGTCCCATGACATTGCTATATTGCATGTCTACAAGTCTGCAGTAATGTTATGCATCTGACTACAGGCTGTTCTGGGACCAGTGTGATGGCTCTTAAACTCCCAGCTGATGCCCGCACAGCAGGACTGCTCCACGATCAAAGCAAGGGCAAGCTCTTCCACTGAGAGGTCAGTTTAGCAGTGATTGATTGAAGTCAAGCTCCGTTGAACACATCCCAAAGAGTCAAGGGAGACAGCAGTGTAAAAGTACATTTTCAAGACTCCCAGCCCACACGCAGGTCACTCTGAAGAATCAGTCAGTGCATGTTTTTGAGAGCACGTTCCCATTGACTGAACCCCCTGTCAGTTGGGTGGCCCTCTTAGTGTGAAGTTTGGTAATGCGTGAAAAACATCTCCAGGTCGAATGTGTGTGGCCCATTCAAACCATTCTTTAGTCTTAGTCAAAGAAATTCACTTCTTTAAAAACAGTCTAGCATTTGTTTTATCTACAGTAGGTGACATTTAGTTATCACTTTAACATAAAAAACAAAACCCCAAAAAACAGGTGCCTGGGCGCATTTTTAGTATTTAAAAAAGACCTTTCAGTTTATTTATAGAGTAAAAAAGACTGCAAAGAGTACGAGCAGCACAACAGAATGCAATTTCTTCCTCACCTGTACCTGACCTTAGATGAGGGCTAAATCCACCTCCATCAGACATAAATATTGCAAGATGTGAAGAAATAAATCAAAGCAAAAACAAGCATTTGCAGGTCATTCAGAACCTCAACCACCTACATAAACAACTACATCTACACAGCAACAGAAAACAGCCATTGTGTTTGATCTGTTTTGTTGATGAAGACTTTCAACAGAGATGTGTTAGCAGATAAATATTTTTGCTACAGTGTATAGAAATAGCACAAAAAAACACAAAATAACATAAAAAAATTGTTGAATATAAATAATAATGATTATTGTTATTTATTATTATTATTATTATTAATATTATCATTATTATTATTAGTACCAATAGTAGTAGCACAATGCCAAATTTATAATTAAAGGGGTCATCCAAAGTGTTTTTTTAAGGCTTGGTTGTGTTTATGGGGTGCAAAACAATGTATGCTTGTGCTTCATTTATACAAATATCATGCTATTGTTTTAGATGTATTACCATAATTTTATACTGCTTCTCAGCTAACATGAAAATTACTAGTGATGGCTCGTTCTTGAACAATTCATTCATTTTGGAAACATTTTTTATGTGACTCGAGAACAATGAGTCCAATGAGTATTCGTTGGTTAAGCTTATATGGAACTGTCAGTGTTAGATAAAGGAACGACTCAAACTTGAAGACATGCCAGAAGAGGTTATCATAGACAAAACACCATGTAAACAATTATTTTCTCTTTCTTAGTATAGTAGCATTCTAGTTTTGACTTGTTTATAGTGTGATCAATGTTTGGGCTAGTTGTAGATGTGTTTTGAAGCATCTCATAACATTTTAATGTTACTTTGCCAAACTGAACTGACTGAGCAAAATGACTCGAAAAAAAGATTTGTTCATTTCAATAAATGAGACTCCAAGGTCAGAGTCATTAAAATGATCTGAACTTCCCATCACTAAAAATTACTATCATACTTCCTGGTTCCGACAAAGGCCTGCCCTCAACGGGCTCTGATTGGTCAGCTAACCCAATGAGTTTTGATCGGCTCCACGTCACCAGGAAACGTCATGTCTCTTACAATTCGGCAATTCGGCATTTAGTGTAAACCAGTTTGGTCATACCTGGTCACTAAAATAAAATTTGACAACTATCGTTCATATATATTTGAGTTATAATAACGTGTAATTAATACGAAATGTTCACATATCCTTTGCGAACTCAAGTTCATTATTATTTTAAATGTAGAATGCATGAAAAGCAGCCGCATAGAGACACTATATGTGCTGGTGAAGATTGTAAGTGTTTACAGGGGTTTGATGGATAAATGAATACATTATTCAATTATTTAAGCATTAAATATGTTCATACATCTACATTACACAAAACTGAAGACCGCCCCTTTAAATAAAGCTTAATTTAAATGTATTAATGATATTTAGAATTTAACAATGATAAAACTGTCATAATAATAGTAAATGAAATTAAATATTGTTTCATTAAATCATACTGATGGTTGATAAAGCACTGAACAGCAAAGTGAAAACGGTCAACTTACTTTTTCAGCCACTCGATGATCTTATCTTTGCTCCGGAGATGAGGAAGTGTGTACTTTTCCTCTCCTTTTTCAAAATACTTTACTGTAGGGAAGCCTGAGATCTTAAAACGCTCGCCAGTGGACTTGTGAATGGTAGTATCTACCGCTGCCAATACACCTGGACTCTGAAACCACATGCACATTAGAAGACACAAAGATACACTTTAATTTAGTCTTAAAAAGTAAGGAAACTATTATGCCCCCTTTTACAATATGTAAAATAAGTATCTGATTTTCCTAGAGTGTGGATATTAAGTTTCAGCTTAATATACCCCAGAAATAATGCTTTATAAACTCTTTGAAAATGCCCCTTTTTCACTTTTATCCTAATTGTGCTGATTTGATGACTGTCGCTTTAACTTTAAATGAGACTGTGCTACCAGCCTTCTTTTCAAAATGGGGCGGAGCTACAAATGTCGATGAGTCAGCATAGTGGCAGATTCAAAAACAAGCCTAATGTCCTATGCTGATGAGGAGGAGATCGTCACTAATGGGCAGTACTTTCCCCCTCTGATAACATGTATAAAGGGAGAATGTCAATTAAAATGTTTCTGCAGACTGTTTTCATCAAGTGTAATTATATAAAATAAAATTAACTTTTTGACATTAGAAGCTGGTTATTTTCACAGACTGTTGCCACACAACTCTGTTTAAACCTCTTATAAAAGTCATTTTTGCATAATAGGTCCCCTTTAATTGACATCAGGACAATTAGTAATGTTACTGTGGTGACAAGCAAATTCAGCATACTCATTATTATTAACCCCCAAGTCTCTCTACAAACTTTCAAGCAATTATGGAACTCACGTTGTAAATATCTTTGCTCAACTTGATTAAAATCAGAAGCATAATTTGAGAACAGATCAAGCTGCAATTTTTAATACTGATTGTGTTTTGTGGTTGAAGGGACCTCCTGTAGGTGGAGCAGATGAGATGCATGATTATTTAACAATTTATAAAGTTCACAAAAGGAAAAAAGGAGAACCATTTAAATAAATGTTTGTAGTCTAATATGTCTTCATGCAGTTTTAAGGGTGTTCGGTTCTGGGTTTTTTTTAAGTCGACTCTGATTCTCTTCTAATTTTGGAGCCAGAATCGACTCTGGAGTAGACTTCATTTACATTCACTTAAAATAGCGCAAGAATTAAACATGCTGTATCATATCACACTACATACAATGCTACTGCATCAATTGCAGCTTTACATTGTGCAGTTCTCCTCAGGTCAGACAAAATATTAGTAAATAATAAATGACATTGCAATCTTGAAGACAGAAAGTTTAAACATTAATTTATTATTAAGTTGTTTAATGGAAAGATTTGTAGCAGTTCATTAACAAAGAAAAAACACCCCAATTGAGCCTAAACAATGTTTAAAAAAATTGTCTGAATATCTTCTTAATATAAATGTTTGATACTGAGTGAACAAAATAATCTGGTGTAGCAGATGGTCATGCAAGGCATGTCCCAAATCTGGTTATTCATTTCTTTCTTTCTTTTTTTGACGCTCCAACTGATCAATATCAACAAAATAGCTTTTTAATTTATTTAATGACCAATTTAATATTAAACACAAAATATTTAACTTCAATAATTTATAAATTAACAAACCTAAAATAAATAAAAGCAGCATGACAGACTGTGCCTTAAAGCACATCATATTGCTCTCTCATATATGTGATTTTTTTAAAGTGTACTTTTAAATAGCCCATTACTTTTAAATATCACTGCTTGTTTTGTGCAATTTGTTGAGTGAGTCAGTTTTTGAACACTTTACCTCAGCTATAGTTTTATTTAAAAAATACTCCTTTGGACACTAATTTTATTTTGTATAATTTGTATTTTAATTCTGATGTATTTTTGTGGTTATCTACAAAATAAAAGAAGAATGAATATTAGGTGAAGTTAGGTGCATTCAGGGCCAAAACAAAATCACAACCATATATTGTCAGATTTTGTGACAATAAATAAATCTTGGCTACTTTTCTCATTATGATTAGTGTGTTATTTCTTTATTTATTTATTAGTGAAACAGGCATAGGTTCAATAAAAAATTTACTTAAGCCTATAGCAGCAGCCAACATAGCCTAACATAACATAATTTACCCTACAGTGCTAATTTAAGATGCCGATCCAATAGTATCCGCCAATAGTATTCGATTCGTTCCAAATTCACACACACACATAAATCGACTATATTTCATTTTTAACACAGCAAACTTGACATCAAAAGCAGATCTAAACCAAAACGCAAAAGGTTTACGTGCGTTATAGGAATTTGAAAGTTAAAGCAAACTTCAGTCCGCAGCACTTTATAATAGCCTAGAGCGCTGATTACAAAATTCAAAAATAAAAGAGTAAAAGGTGTGAACACGCATTCAAAGTGGGCGCCTTCGGTGTTCATCCATCAATAACTGCTTCATTGAGGAGGATTTGAAAAAACAGACTTGACTCTGGAAGTTGATTTCTGTCCTGGAGTCGATTCCGGTACTAGGTCCATGGAAAGTTGACGAATGAACTCTTTTGGAGTCGACTCCCCATCCCTATGCAGTATATATTTATCTGTATATTTAACAGGTTTATATTAGGAGTATTAAAGTTATTCATGTACTTTTAGCCTCATTTGTAAGTCTCTTTGAATAAAAACGTCTGGTAAATTGTTTAATGTAAAATTTTGATAAAAATATTATATTAGGGTTTTTTTGTGTTTGAGTGGGACATAAAAACCACTGTTGCATTAATATACAATCAGAGTGCCGTCTAGGCAAATAGCTGAAAATCATATTTACACAAAGCCCTATTACCAAGACAGATTTATGATGTACCTTGTGCCCTCAATTTGTTTTTGAATTTGTGAAGACAACAGGCAAGGCTTGATGAAATGACAGCACAATTTGGCACAGCTTTGCATCCCCCATTACATAGCTGAGAAACAGACCATCATAATGAATGTTTTCTCAGCTTAAACTCAATTAACTTCCTCTATTTGCAAACATCTGTCAGTGGGAAACCTTAAATCTGCGATGAACGTCTTGGTCATTATCACAAACAAAGGATTTGTGTTGGAATTTGGGCACCAACCCCGCAGGGGCCAAATAATCTATGGACAGCGATCGGATCTGCGAGCCAATTAGAAGTGCATGCAAAGCAAACCACTTGACAAGCAAAACAAACACGTCTTGTTAAAGCAATGGCACTGCATTTCAACAACACGCCCACTTGAAGTTCTCCACCATCCACTTACAAAATGTCATGTTCGTTCCTCCTCCCATAATATTCATATATGCACATTTAAACACCCTTATTCCAAACTCTCAGCAAGATGCAAATTGAAAATGCTTTAAAAAAATAAAAATCTTGACACATGGACTCTCTATTTAAACTGTGTGTAGGGCTGTGAGCAAAAGGAATGAGAAAAATAAATGACTTCAGCTCTCTCAGGGGAGAAGATGTGAGGACTAGAGCATGCATTAGATAATGCATAACGTGATGTTATTGAACCCCGAGAAGAGCATCACTCTGACTCGCTCCAAGCTGAAGGCTAGAGGGACGGCGCAGAGGAAAAGCAAAATGAGATTAATACTTCAACTATAAGGCTCTGGTGACCACAATTGGCCTGCAGCTCTGGACTAGAGAGCAGAGCACACCCAGAAAATAAGAAACACACCACTACATCATTGCCAGACATGTTTGTGCACTGTAAATGTCTCAAGTTGTAATTTTAAAGCTTAAAAAATAATCATGTCATGCAGTGACGGAAATGTTAAATCAAAAGTTGTCGAAGAGTAAAACATTACTTGGGGTTTTGCTGAGGGGTCTTGTGAAATTGTTTTGGATGATGGAAAATTACAATTGGCTTATTTTAATTAAGCCAATTGGACACAGACGTTTATGCAAGGAATGCCTCAAAGCAACAATTACACTGCTAGAACATTTTCATTAAGTACACAGGTGCTTCTTCCTTCCATGTTGTCTCTAGCAGAGTCCAAGAATGTTTGGATTTTAAAAGGGATCTATTATGGCCCATTTTACCAGATGTAAAATAAGTCTCTGATGTCCCTAGAGTGTGTATGTAAAGTTTCAGCTCAAAATATTTAACTTATAATGTTCTATAACTCTTTGCAACTGCCCCTTATAGGCTTTGATCCAAATTGTGCAGTTTTGGTAACTGTCGCTTTAAATTCAAATGAGATTGTGTAATTTATTTTATTAATTATAAAATAAATCATTAATGTTTACCATTAGAGGCTGGCTATAATCACAAACTTTTGCTAAACAAGCATATATACAGTATAGGGAATAACCTATGAGAGGCTTTTGAATTTTCACAATACAATGTACACCTGAGATGGTGCCGTTACACAACGGGTGTGCAATATTTTATAGATAATAGTTTTATATATTCCACTTAGGAGTATATTCTGGTTACCTCATCCAAATTTAAGAAATATGTCAGGTTTGGCCATATTTGTTAGGATACCCCATCTTCATTAAAAATGACAAATAATTCTATAATCTTAGAGCTAAAATAGAAGCTTGAACCATTAACATTGCACTGCTATGTAGTTATTAGAGATTAAGACAACCACTCTTGTAATTTTGTACCCTATTCTTTAATATTTTTACTTAAATGTGTTTTTTTCTTCTGTTGTAAGCTGTGGAAATCATTTGATTTGGAAAAAGTGATTTGGAACTGCAATGCTAAATAACTCCATACCATAGAATAATTTTAGAACCCTGTAGTACAAATATTCATTATTTGTTATTTATCAGAGTAGCAGTATGAAGGAACTCACATTTGGGTCTTTGTTGAGGGTCTCAGCAGCATCGTCATACTCTGGCTTCATCTTTTTACAGTGGCCACACCCTAAAAAGCACCACAAAGAAGAAAATCAGAGCACAAAAATAGATAAAATATAATCTGAAATGTATGAAACAAAATGTGGCTTTACACCAGGACCGTCAAAGTTATGCTAAGTTGCAACAAATTGTAGTCAAAGTACAATACTGACTAAATAACACATGGTACTTTAATGGTACTTCACTCTGCATTCTAGAATGTACATCTTAAAGTAATTGTGATTACCATATAATTTAATAGTTTGAGGCCGGGGAGATTTGTTTAAAGAAATTACTTTTACTCATAGAGAATTTGTTAAATTGATTAAATTGAGTAAAGAGTTTTAAATTTTAACAATAGATTTCCATTCCAAAATAAATGCTTTTAGAATCTCTGTTAATCAATGGGTCATGGAATACTTATTATACTCATTATGTTCATATTAAAATTAACTGACGATTATTCAACAGCAAACTTGATTAATGGTGACTGAAAATACACAGGAATACATTTTAAAAGTCATGCAAATTTATAAAAAAGTAAAAACAAAAACATTTGGAAAACTTTGGTAAAAAGGAAGCCAAAATAGGTTTTGATAGGTCAAACTAGAAAACCAGCAGAATGTCAAATTGACCTAAGGGGTATTGCAAAAAGTATAAATCCAGGATAACAAAAACAGTGCTGCTTGACCTCATTTAATTATATGAGGAGGTTCACTTGGTTCACTTTGCCTTAAATGAGACCAGTGGACAATCATGTTACTCAGGAAATTTATCATGAAGATTAACTGCAAACACTTACTGTACCTAATATTGTGCTTAAATTTTATGTTACGTTTATTTTATCTACTTAATCATCATCTACAGTGTATACTCTTTAATCTTTCATCTATTTTTTTTTCTTTGCAACTGACTTTATTTATTCTTAACTTTTCCCCCTAATCTTTCATCTATCTTATCTCTCCCCTTTACAAAAATCTAAAATGGCCACAGAATAATGAATATAAATTATTACTGCATATTTTTAGTTCCAATGGTTGGAAAATATATGTTAATGGCCAAGAACATGGAGTGACTGTAAAACACATTAATTCTAGTAGGACTGAGAGCAGAACTAACAGATATATCTTTGGAATAATCATAACCTGGATGTTAACCTGCTCCTGGAGTAACACATGCTTTACATAAAAATGTTAAAGGTGTTGCTATTAAAATAATTAGTTATCTTTATTGAACTTTGTGCATGATTCAAAAAATTAAATCAACTTAATGGTTCGAAGTTTTTCAAAGTAATGTCAACTTGTTGCTTAAGGAAATGGGTTCACTTATCTTTATTAAGTAAAGTAAATAATCCCTTTTCCAGTGTAGTAACTTAATTTAGCCTGTTTTTAATGCAACAAAGTCAGGGCTGAAATAAACCGGGATACTTGAAAATCTAAGCTCTTATCTTGGTTTTGAGCAATACTCCTAAGGTTCAGAAGTCAGTAAGACTAGCCACACCTGCATAAACCACAGTTATAAACAGAGTTGTCATGTACTGTATAACTGACAGCAGGAAAAAAACTCAACAACTCTGAAAGATTACATTTCAGCCATGAAATAATCAAAAACAACACTCATCTACCCTTCCAAGTATTCCAACTCTCCACCTGTTACATAACCATAACATCCTTCCAGAAAAATCTTAAAACAGACAACACTAATGCAAGCCGGGATTTAATTTGTATTTATTAACACAATGGGAAAAGGAACTGGTTCAAAAAATGTGCTTGCATTTCTGCTAACAACTATGCACAACTTTTTGTTAATAACACTGACTTTAAATCAGGTCACATAAAATGTGCATGCCAAGGGAGGTGTATGTCAGTTTGCATGTTGTCTCAGTTAATCTGACACAAAAATGGGTAATTTCCCCCTCCCTGCTAGACTCAACAGTGATGATTACACATGCTGAGAGGCCTAACCGATGTTGTCATTGGCATGATGATAGCTGCGTGCATGTAAACCAATGTTTGCATGTAAACAAGGATATTGCAATGGGTCTTGCTGATGAGAATGTAAACAAATCACCCTGTACCTTCTCAGTGTATTAATGCAAAGAGAGAAAGAGAGAGAGAGAGAGAGAGAGAGAGAGAGAGGGGAATGTGTGTGTATATACTCTAGGCTCAGTGGCGGATTGGTAGGATACATCCTGTGCCATTCTGTACAGGAAATGAATATGTTCTATCAGAGGTGTTTGATCAAAAATGTATGAAAGCTGAGAGCAGTCTTCCTTCAATAACACAAAAAAGCAACCTCCCAAGAAATTGAAACACTAGTGACATTCTTATATCGGCAAATCAGTGTCAGGTTGACTCATTTGAGAATAAAATTGACACTCGAAAACATCATCAGTACATTGAAATTCAGCAGAGATAAATGGAGCATTTATTTTTGTCTCTTGTGACCTGTATAGTGGGTCACACGTAAATTGTGGTGTTATGGCAATGTCGTTGTTCATATATTTTATCCATGTACTAAAAAATAGTCATGTGCTGTGAAACAGTTAATATACTATTATGCTTCAATGAGTACATTTACATGGACACCAATAATCTGATTTGAATATGATTAACACAACACTGTGATTAAGAGTCTACCATGTCAATAAAGATTTTTGATTAATTTAATCCAATTAAGGTCATATCAAACTAAACAGAAATCCTACCGCAGTGTGAGATTTTCGCCACATTTACAACAGTATAGTCTATACACAATAGGGTTGGGCCGATAGACGATGCCATCGTCCATCGCAGATGGCCAATAGACAACATGATGCTGACCCGACATCGTAATCCATCGCCCCGCCCCCGTCGCAAACCCGCTCGCGAAAAATACACACTCAGGCCCTGTTTATCAGATTTATTTATTTATTACAGTGATAAAAATCCACAATATTGTTACCCATATCACCTGTTAATTTATTTGTACAAAAAATGTTGTGGATCCCTAATAGGAATGAGCCTTTCAATATAGAACAGAACTTGGATTGACTTTAAATGTCCTGTGAAGTGTTTTAAAATGTGCATTTTTAAATTCGGTGTTTGATGTAATCTCAACTTAAAAATGAAAAGAAGGTGGGACGGAGTAGCTTCTCCACTTTAAAAAAAAAAACAGTCGGGTTTTGCTTTTATTACAACTCTGCCAGAATGTGGTTGAGCTCAAGCACATCAAATGAAAAGTGTCAGACACTAGAGAGCATTTGATTGGTCAAGATTAGATTAGAAACTAAACTAAAACAAGTATGAGGTGACGAGAAAAAAAAATCATTGATCCATTTAGGCAAAAGTAACGAACAGCAAGCACTGGATGTTTATATCAGTTTTATCACTGCTTTTTGAATTTTTTTCACTGTTTTGGAGCACACAAGCTAATTGATATCTTTACAACTAACAAGGAATTTCAAGAGAATTTAAATGCCAATCAAGCCCCTAGGCCAGCCCTAAACCAAACCCTAAAACCTGATTGGCTGATAGCTATATTGTTCCTGGAACAATTAACCTGTACATTAAAGATAATTCTTGTAAAAACCAGACACCATGGCAAGAGCATTGATGTCGATACTTACATGGAGCATAGAACATAATCAGGGCTGACGGATGTTCTTCCAGGAATGAGTCGAAAGAGTCATCGGTCAGATGGAAGACCGCCGAGCCAGACTCAGACCAGGGCACCTCTGGAGTCTTAGGTTGTGGCGGCTGAGGGCTATGCAACATATAAAACAAAAAGTTCAGAACAATTCCAGTCAACACACTGTATTTGTAGTCTCAAAGTCTAGTATGAACTTCATGACTTTGGAACAGTACATGACTTTAGCTCTCAGAATGACTAATGCAGGGCTCTAAGCTCGAAGTTGAACACATCTCACAACTCATTTCAGCTCACTACATCTGGTGGGGAACAGTTACACCCACAAGACTGAAGAGAGCTAGCCTGAGCCCACAATTCACATCTGTCTTTTGACGGGCCCTGTGCCCAAACAAGAATGGCCCAAATGATTTCTTCGTAGAGCGCACGGAGCCAGGAGCTAGAAGTGCATCAGCTAAGCAAAGATCAGCAAACCCAAGCATTTAGTGGGTAAAGTGCATCAGTAAATGTTTTCATGATCAAGCTCACTTTCACTTTTCTTCATTCAAAATTAATGCTGCAAGACAAGCCAGAGATACATCTGCAAGTGCTTCGAAAGCAAAAGTTCGCAACTAGAGTTTTTTTTAGCATGCACTTGTATTGGTCAATCAACTCCAGCTGTCCTGAAGTTTATAAAATCGCTATAATAATTTTATGGTTCTCACAAATTATGGACAACCCACAGTCTCTTCATGGACTGCCTCTTATGGATTTAAAGAAAAACTTTGAAAATGAAGAAAAACTTTAAAATAGCAGATTTACAGTAAACTACGGTGGTAAAGAGTTTTTAGCAGCCATTGTACAGTTTTCCCGAACTCACAATCGATCAGAAATCATTCTAAAATGCTTATTTGGTGATTATGAATCAACTCTGAATAATTTTGAAAAAAAACTGTTGTGCTGCTTTTTTTTTTGTGGATAATGATATGTATTTCACAGGATTCCTTAATAAACAGAGAGTTAAGCATTTACGAAAATGTATAATCTAAATTTGTTACCTAAAATTCACAAAATAACCCTTGTGTGATGTTGGGGATGTTTTGATCCTCTTAAGGGTGATTTTGAGTCTTAATTTGGCCACCACTTCCTCTGCGTTTCAGTAAATGGAATAATTATTTTTAAACATATTTTAGAAAAATGCATTGAAATTGTTCAAACATTCAGCAATACACTCTCTACGCAATTTTTCTCCCCTTTGATTATGTTTGTGGCTGTTTTTGCCCCATTGACTTCCATTATAATGACATTTTTTGATTGCAAAGACAACACATTATGTAATCAAGCATTCTTGATTGTAGCTGGTTTTCCCTGAGAAAAAAAGCGTAGTTTCTGCCTTCTATATGCCGTACAGTGTGTTTGTTTACTATGCTATCAGAACATGCTAAACATAGGAAGTGTATTTATGCACACACTATAACCACACTGTAACTATAATAACACTGTTTTACTCTATAGAACTCAATATAAAAGAAAGAAACTTTTTTTGCACAGGCCTATATAAGAGGGTTAATGCTGCCAACTGATGATCAACAGTAAAAATGACACATTTTACCTCTTCCAAATAGGGAAAACCACCGACAATTAAAAATGCATGATTATGCGGAATCATGGCTGTGCAATCATACAATATCATTATAGTGGAAGTCAATGGGGCAAAAACAGCCATAAACAACGAAATGGTAGCACATTTGAACAGAATATACAGGTTAACATTATGGATGCTTTTGCTGTAACTATTGATCAATTTAAATGCACAAAATGCTCTCTCTGACCCCAATAATAAGTAAAATTGCACTTTGTATTTTGCCCGACTTTTCTGTGCAAAAGTTAGACATATAAATATAAATAAAGTACAAATTTACTTAATAAAAATATCTTAAGACCTCATTTTAGTTTGCATGATGCAGTTTCAGTGTAGAAGGATAGAAATGTTCACTAAAGTGTTGAAAACAGAGGCACAGCTATCCACAAATCATTCTCTGACTGGTCTTCTGGACTATTGAGTATTGTACCTTGATTCCTTAAGCCCCTCTTATACGACCATTACACTACCGGTAGTACCATAAATAGTCACGTATCATGCGTTTAAGCTGTTTAGTGTAGACAGAGATTGTTTTACTGAAACACAATAAAACGTCAGCTGGATGAGGAGCATTTTTAATCTGAAACACACTAGGATGGACAAAGCCTACGTAAGAAGATATTGACCAAAAATGGAAGTAACACCAGTAAAAAAAATCTACATCTGGCTACTCTTAACTACACATAAAATATTAATGTGTCTTGCCAAATGTACAAAATTCTAAACCTGGACAATAAATTATTATGTATGAATAAATAAATATTTTAAAATAATTATATACATAAATTATTAAATGATTATTACATTAAATAAAGCATATACAAGTGCTGTTTTATATGTTAATATTATACAATATTTTATGACTGGAACATTTGTGCAATCCATGAATTACTGTACATGTTGCATTAGCTCTTAGATAGGAAGTATAGATTTGTGTGTTTTATTTAAATTGTCACTTTGATTCTTCCTTAAAACACAACAGTGTACTTAAAGCCACATCACATCTCTGTAAGGAGACACAGAGGAGTGTTTATATCCAGTGTTTTACAGCGCACATCATATCTTTCACACCACAGTTCCTGTAAAACACTCCCTGGATACTGGTCGAGGCCACAGGCAAAAGTCCAAGATGTCACACCTCTAATACATAGTGATTCTTTACAGCTTTTAAGATAGCAAAGGGTGTGAGGATGAATGAAATGAGGCTGTGTGTGTGTATGCTTCTCTTGAGAGCAGCTTGTTCATTTACTCACTTTTTCAACCAATCAGTGATGTCTTTGGACGTGGCTCCATAATTCTCATAGTGATGCAAGAACTTCCCCTTCCTTTTTGAAAAAAGAACAAAAAAGAAGAACAAATATTTATGGTCAATCATAAACTGGCTGAGGAAATCAACTGAAACGATTTATTTTATCATGAGCAAATAAAACAAAGCTATATTTTCACCAATTTTAGGATAAATGGGGCTTTAAAGGTGCTGTATGTTATTTTTTGACTCTTCTGAATCATAAAAATACCATAATATGTTTGCAGATATTTAAGAAACATGCCAAGTGAACATTCTTGTTTATCTGAAAAACATGCTAATGCTAAAGTCAGATATTCTGCTTTGAAAATGTAAGCTACGTGGCGGAACGCCTTTGTTTTGGTTCTTTTAACCTGCCCAATGCCAGTTTAGCCCATTTTATTTCAGCACCCCTTGTTGTAAAACTGCTTATTTCATTCATTCATTAATTCGCTAATTCAGAAAGGCTCTTAAAGCATGCGTCCTCCAGTGGACAGCAGCAGACTCTGAAATGAGACACAGATTCCGAGTTCCACATGAGGTTATCAATTAGCAAACAATATGAATATTACGAGCGTAAACATTAGGGAAGCAGGTTACATTGTAACAGCATGTCCTAACAACATTTTGTTTGCCATTTAGAAACACAGAATATGCACTCACTCACAAAATGGTAATGTTTATAATCTAATTTATACACAATAAACCACTTTAACATTATTAAAAGTCCATGCTGAATCCCTGATATGTGTTGGTTTTGAGTCACAGTTCTAATGTTCAATTTCAAACAGTTTATTTTCACGATCTGAGGTGAACTATCTGCTGCTGCTTTCAGTAGTATGGCAGTAAATATCATGCAAAATGGCATTAAAACCCGCATTGTTAGCATTTCACACTAAATAAAGCACATGATGTGTACTTGGTGACTGTTTTCAGTTTTCTGTTGTTCAGCTGCAAGAAATAGAAGCTGTTTCTAATATATTAATTCAAGTGTTGGTCAGAAAAAAAACTCTGCAATTATTTCTATTTCAACACAATATATTTTTTCTATTGCGTGCCATTCCTTTGATATAGAACGGCATTTAAATCAGCCTTTAGGCTCGATCATCAGGCTCCTGTGCTCGATCATCAGTCTCCTTAATCTGGTAACCTGTGCTTGCATCTATTTTAATCCAGGAATGCAATGGATAGTTTAATTACTAGGTGTCAAACTTGCATACTGCACCTTTAAAGCATTAATGCATGCAATTAATTCAAAATCATTCACAGTTTAAAATGATTTAAAACAAGTAATGCAAATAAATTACTGAAGCAAAAGAGTTATTACTGTTATTAATTTCACAGAGGCCTACGTTTCTGGATATAGCAAATGTTGACAAAATAAATATCAAAGATGATAAACAGCATATGCCTAATTTTAATCTTGTGATGAATCACTTTCACACACACAAAAAAGATTAATCACAACAAAAAAGTAATTTATCCTACACTGTAAAAAACAAAAAGTAAAGATAACTCAAACCATTTGAGGAAACAGATTGCACAAACCATTTAAGTTCAAAAACTAATCCTGAGTACTGTGAACTTAACCTATTTGAGTAAATGAAGCAATTCAAGCACAGTAAAACCCATTGAAGAGAACTTAAACCAACTGAGTACTGTAAAACCTAGTAAGGCAACTCAAACCGTTTGCTACAAACTCACATATGAGTACTGTAAACTTAATCCATTTAGGTTGAAGTAATGAGGTATTAAATTAACTCATTAAGTTCAAAACTCTTTTCAAATGAGTAGAAATAACTTTCAGCAACTTGAGTTAACTACACTTATTTAATTTGATAAAGAAAAAAAAACTAAAACTTTTCTTTTTCTTTTTTAAATTGTTTGGAACTGTGGCCTATTGTTTAGTGCACATGATGTGCAGGATTGATTTTGGCTGGCTTCCTATCACAATCCCATTTTACTTTCTGTCCTCTCTCTGCTGTGGTATAAAAACAAGTCCAAAAGTTTATAAAACAGAAACAAGAGTCTGTTTAAAGCAGTTAGTATTGATTAAAAACAACATACTTCAAAACTTGCCTTCTTTTAGAAAGGACATGCTAAATGCAAGAAGTCAATATTTATTAGCGCTTATTTTCTCAACATAAATTGCACTAGACAGCTTCAGATATATGTATCCACACAACACAAGATCCAAGACCGCTGCTCGATTCTTGCCATCCAAGATAAACATTTTAAATGAGAGTTTGACTCAAAGCTAATTAAGCCATTTGGCCCAGGGCTCTTAGCATAATCAAAGACTTCAGCTAGCAGCCTTTGTGCTCTTGCTAATCCATACAACCACAAGCAGACCAAATCACGAACGTATACAGAAATGCTGCATGCGGAGGAAGGCTTCATACATCGGAAACTCAAATTTTATCTGTCATCATCGGCTGCCGTTCCGTGACTGAAAATAATCTGCAGCAAGTGGGAGCTTAGCAGGGACTCTGGCACTGGACTGCCATTTGTAACTGTCACTAATCAGCTGGGTTCCACATAAACTGTGACAAACTAAACAAAGAAATATGTTAATAAAGTGGAAAACCCATGTCTAACAAACAAAATTATGAGGTGATTATCTGTCTGTCTGTCTGTCTGTCTGTCTATCTATCTATCTATCTGTCCTTCCGTCTACCCATCCATCCATCCATCTACCTACCTACTGTACCTACCTACCTACTGTACCTACCTACCTACCTACCTACCTACCTACCTACCTACCTACCTACCTACCTACCTACCTACCTACCTACCTACCTACCTATCTATCTATCTATCTATCTATCTATCTATCTATCTATCTATCTATCTATCTATCTATCTATCTATCTATCTATCTATCTATCTATCTACACAGTTGAAGTCAGAATTATTAGCCCCTATTTTAATTTTTCTTTTTTAAATATTTCCAAAAGGATGTTTCACATGGCAAAAATATAAGAAATCAGTTATTAGAAATGAGTTAATGAAACTAATATGTTTAGAAATGTGTTAAAATGGGGCTAAGAATTTAGGGAACTAATAATTTTTACGGAGTTTGCATGTTCTCCCTGCGTTCGCGTGGGTTTCCTCCGGGTGCTCTGGTTTCCCCCATAGTCCAAAGACATGCGGTACAGGTGAACTGGGTAGGCTAAATTGTCCGTAGTGTATGAGTGTGTGTGAATGTTTCCCAGAGATGGGTTGCGGCTGGAAGAGTATCCGCTGCATAAAAACTTGCTGGATATGTTGGTGGTTCATTCCACTGTGGCGACCCCGGATTATTAAAGGGAATAAGCCAACAAGAAAATGAATGAATGAATGAATATTAATTCTTACTTCTGTATATATTTTGATTTCTACATAATTTGTATCATATACGTGTTTATTTTATATATAAATAAAAATAAACATTTTCTCAAATATATGCATGTGTGTATTTATATATAGTGGGAACGAAAAGTATTCAAACCACCTTAAATTGTTCACTCTTTGTTATATTGCAGCCATTTGCTAAAATCATTTAAATTATTTTTTTCCTCACCAATGCACACACAGCACCCCATATTGATAAAAAAAAAAACAGAATTGTTGACATTTTTGCAGATTTATTAAAAATTAAAAACTGAAATATTACATGGCCCTAAGTATTCAGACCCTTTACTAAGTATTTAGTAGAAGCACCCTTTTGATCTAATACAGCCATGAGTCTTTTTGGGAAAGATAAAGCTTTTCAATGGGTCAACAATTCTGTGTTTTTCTGTCAATATGGGGTGCTGTGTTTAGATTAATGAGAAAAAAAACTTTTAAATTTAAGGAGGTCTAAATACTTCCCAAACCCACGGTATACATAATAAATATACACAGTAGACACACACATTTATTACGTCAAAACAAATTTTTATATTGGATGCGATTAATCACGGTTATTCTTTGCCCAGCACTTATTTCCATACATCTTTAATATATCAAAGAAATAATACATAAATATACACTACTAAAAAGGTGTGGAGGCACGGTGATCTGGCCTTTGGGTCGAGTAATAGGTTTAATTAACCTTTTAGTAATTAAAAGATCGGTGTAGTGAAGGGGCACTAAACAGAAGCTAAATGCAGTTTGAAACATCTGCTCCAAGCCTAAATATACAGGCAAATGACTCTGGACAAATTACTCTATGCAGAAAATACACATTAAAATTCTCTGATTCATTTAATATCATAAATCACCTTCCTTCCCAGGGCTATTAGTTCTAGCATGCTACATATAAAAAACTGCCCTAAAAATGTCTCAGAAATGAATTAATTTGAACCTTTTGATATTAATATGCAAAGATTATTTTGGGGTACTTTTTCAAATAATGCAAATGGCTTATTTTAATGCAATGCAACATTGGGCATTGGCCAAGAACATTTCATACACCAAGTTCAAAGTATTTTAAACAGTTATTTACAAGAATTAGCACGCTTTGTTTTTTGTGAAGACTATCTTCGATAAATGCGGAGTAGATTAAAAAAGTTTGTCAGGTCTTCATTAGAGAATTTAAGCTTTGATTTTTTTATTGTTTAAAAGTATTGTCGGTAACAAAACTATGTTTTTAAATCCCTTTGGAAAATGAAGGGATGGTAAACAGTAGGAAAAGCTCTAGCATTAGTTGTGAATGAGACACAGCCAGAGGCCCTTAATTGGACTGCAGATAAAGTACCATTCTGGGTTGCATTTCCTAAACAACATTGTAACTCACAGCTGAACTACCAAAACATGATTCAGGAAATAAACTATGTAGTGACAAGTGTTTCCTGAACTCAGTCGGAGGTCCATCATTTAAACAACTTTGTTCATTGGTTAAACTTTGCTCATTGTTCAATAAACAAATGTTCATTGTAATGATGGATTCAGGGAAAGACCAATTTGCTGAACTACTGTATGTTGGTAACGATGGAATTTACAATCTAATTAGATATCAATGGTTTTGGGAATACCTGATCCCCTTTTCCAAATCTTCTTCACACCATTAAATGATGGAAGTGCAATTCAATGATCCTACAGTTTTAATTAAACAATCATCATTAAACTTGTTAAAGAAAAGTATTATGGGTAGGGCTGGTCAATATATATCAAATTCGACCATGAACAAACAAATTCCTTAATTTCCAATTTATTTCCTTTTTTAATTTCATGGAAACTTATGCACTTTTCATTAAATGTAGCTCTTAAATGTAGAACAAAATGTAGATCCACAATCGGCATTTCATCTAGCACTTCTGAAAAGATCTCCATGCACATTGCACTGCTGAAAACGCACATCACGTGAACACACATACAAAACACACACTTTGTCATGCTCTGCAGTGTATGTGCGCGTCTGAGCTTCAGCAGTCAGTGGGTGCTTTAAGTACAAAACCCCAGAGATCAGTGCTTGTCGGACAGTTTATCAAGTATGTATCGCTGGATCGCATCTCACTGTAGTTGTTGAACTTGATATTTAATTCATCTAGTCTCTATCTAACGTCTCTTTGGTCTTTTGAATCTATCAGGTATTGTGTCACAGCGTCAATACACTGCTTCAGTCTTTTGCTTTCACTCTTGTACTTAGTCATTTTAGCAAAAACCTCAGACACTGTTGGTTGGTATTGCATTTTCTACACCAACCAAGTTTGTCGACGCCATTATAATGACACAGATCACTCTGCCTATTCATGCCAGAGTCCCACAGAATAAGTGACAGGTGGTAATGTGTGTAAACTTATATTTATTTATTTATGATTTGATTACGAGTAAAACAAAGACTATGTGGGTCAGGTAGTTGAAACAGTAGTCTACAAATAATTAATTTGTTATGAATGAATGAATTTTTCATAAATAATTAATTCACCGCCGCCTACAGCAAAGATGCGATCATCCATCGCGATGTTTCACATTAGACTCATACGATGCCATACGATGGTCGACATCGCCCAACCCTAAAATGTACACTGCAAATATAACTTTAAGTTCACTTAATTGAATTGCGCAAATTCCTTTCCTTACTTCATTTGTCATTTCAACTCAATTGTATTAAATGTTTATTTCTTACTAATATAAAAGTTTAATATAAAATATTACTTGCTTCACATATAGTCACATTTACTTAAACCATTTATGTTGTGTTGCCTTAACTCGATCTGTAATCTAAGTTAGTAGAGTTTTAAAATTGTATTTTTACAGAAACTTTTTTTTATTGTGTGCAAAAAATAGACAATAACTTTTATTTTTACATTTAATTTCCAGTCCGTCACAAAGAATGCTGGGAACAAGAACTCAGTTTGATGCACACATTCAGTTTAAGTTCAGCCTAACACAATCAAGTATTGAGCTGACGAAACTTGTTTCTATTTATTAAAATATAAATAAAAAGCCTTTTAAGCCACTGCAGAGTACATGTGTTAATAAAGATATATACTGTAATATATAAAAACTCCTAATGTTCAGTTTAGTCTTTTTTATTCAGTTTTTGGTGACTTTGCACACAATCAAGTGAAACTTACTCAAAGTAGCAGAAGGTTGGATAGCCCTTGACGCTGAACTCCTGTTTGACGCCATCAAACTCTGCCGGGTGCACGTTCATCCCAGCCAACACCTACACCAAAGCAATGAATTAGACTTGAAACAAACAATCGCCGTCTAGCAGCTCAAATACAGCGAAATGAAGATGAATGGCCACATCAGAGTGTAAGCAGGAAGCTTGTCGATAGAGATATGGCATTCAGTGAAGTGGCACACGGTAAATATCCAACACTCTCATGGCATTGCAAGCTTGACCCGACATGCTAATCGCATCCCGAAAAACAATTTCGACTCACTTTCATTCTGAAGGATATTTACTTTAAGTGACTAGAGACTTATTATACTTCTACGCTTGAAAAAATAGATAGCTTATGGTCTTATTTCAAACAAGCTACGCTGTTATGACTGGCAATGCTTGATAATGAATTCCTAAATAAATGCATATTATCCCTGAGCAAGTCACAAATCGTCTCTGGTGCGTCGTACCCATCTGTCAGGCCGCTGAAAAATATGCAGGCCAACTCTGCTGACCGGCGATTACTTCCCGAATCCATCAAAGTTTCTGCAGCGCTATCAGCTTCTCGCCACACGTACGTGAAACTCAGAAACACAGGAGGTAGCAAATCTACATGTCGCGTCCATAAACGGCAAGCTATCAATTCATTATGCAAAACTGTAAACAGCAGCTTATTTACTAGTGCTCAGTCATCGGTCCGCAGTTGAAGAAATAAATATTGCTTAAAAATCACTCCATATGTGTGCAAAAGTAAAACAATAACAACAAAAACTGTAATCATAGACATATTTTATAAGGATATATTTGGTGGCATTGAGCTAGTAAATGTATTTGTTATTGTAGGATTACAGCATTTGTTAATGTATGTTCATGTTAATCAATTGTTTATTTAAGTTCATAATATTTTAATTTTAATATCTAAGCATTTAAATGTAAAAAGGTAGTCAATAATGTACTGAAATGTAATTAATTGCTTTTTTAGCAAGGTTGCATGAAAATGATCAAACATTTATGCAATGAATTTATTTATACCATTACAAAACATTTTATTGAAAATAAAAGCCAATTTAAGTCTGCAAAACTTTTTATTTGTTCATAAAATGCACCAAATCAGCATATTAGTTTCTGAGGAATCACAAGAGACCAAAGAAAATAACAATGGTGCAAATCTAAATAATTGAATGTAAAAACATTTAATATTTAATTACAGTTATTTTAAAGTTTAAATTAAAAATATTCTTTCAGAGTTTGCCTTCTTTTACTGTATTTGTGTCACATTTATACAATTAGTCAAAACAGGCAAATTGTAAAAAAAAAAAAAAAAAAAAAAAAAAACACTTTCACCATTTTATAATATTATAGAGACGTTTTAGATTAAAGATCAGATTCACACTTTTTATAAAAGATTATCTTTGATTTCATTATTGGTTATTTAAGTCATTTACAATTTTTGGCATTGCTTGTAAGTGTAATATGATTATGTAGTAAATGATGCTCCATCTGAAAGCACGTGGTGATTTACTACTGATCACAAAACGGTCTTAACTTAAAAATGCGGATTAAAAAAAATTGTCTTTGGTTAAATGTGCAGCTCTACCCTTAACCATAGTAAAAAAAAATAATAATAATAAATTGTTCACAGTAATTTTTTCCCTTATTAGGAAAGACTTTTTTTTTTGCAAATTCATTACGTACTACCATTTAAATTGAAGTATTATTTCAGAGTTTGCCTGTTTTTACTGTATTTGTGACACATTTTTAAAATTAGAGTCAAAACAGGCAAATTGTGAAACAATATTTTAAAACATACACTTAACTTTTTCACTATTTTAATATATTAGAGATGTTTTACATAACAAATTAAAGATCAGATTAAAACTGTTATAAAAAAACATTATCTTTGATTTCATTATTGGTTATTTAAATAGTCTACAATATTTTCCGTTGCTTGTAAGTGAACTATGACTATGTGTAGTAAATGATGCTCCATCTGAAAGCATTCGGTGGAGATTCACAACTAATCACAGAACCCTCTTTACTAACAAAATGCTCATAAAAATGGTTAATATGGTTAATATACGCCTATGGTTAATTAGGCAGCCCTACCCTGAACCATTGCGAAACAAAGTAGTTTACAGGATCATTTTTCCCCTTATTAGTAAACACAATATTTTGCAAATTCATTATGTAATACCGTTTAAATTGAAATATTATTTCATAATTTGCCCGTTTTTACCCTATTTTCATACAATTTTACAAATAGTCAAAACAGGCAAATTGTGAAACAATTTTTTTTTTTTAAATATTTCAAATAGTTTTCACCATTTTAAAATAACAGAGAATTAGGTTTAGATAAAAAAAAAAATTAAAGATCAGAATCCTTACTGTATGGAGTTCTAAAAAACAGTTGAAAAACAGCTGTCAGCTGCTCAAAACTAGCAGTGTGTTTGCTTAACTTACAAAAGCTTCCATGCTGAAAACTGTGACATTTACTGTAGGGGTTGTCTTTAAAAAATACATTCAGTTTAGATTTAGATGAGTTTGAATGAAAGCGTCTATATTTGTGCTTCTGTGAACATTCTGAGATGGGCAGTGGAGAAAGAGAGAGTGGGAGATCAAAAAAAGTGAAGTACTGAGGGAGAGAAAATGTGTGGTCAAGTGTACTGTGGGTCTCCCAGCAGTGCACATAGAGATATTGAGCTGAGCTGGCATTTAATCCATACTTCACCACAGACCTCAACAGCAGGAACTGCATCCTATAACTGTACTATGAAATCAGCAAAAGGGCTTTTAAGCAAAATTGGCTCTCGCTCTAATGAGGGGGAACTAAACATTTTGTCGAAAAAGGGACATCAATGGTTTTGCAAAACATCCCACCTGTTAAGTAATTCAACAACTGTACCAGATATAATTGAAAAGTAGAAAAGAGAGGGTCTAACATGCTACTGTACTTACATATTTTCCTTTAGTCTCTGTGGCTGCTTGTTGGAAAATGGGCTGCATCCTTTTACATACTCCACACCCTACAAGTAGAAGAGATGTAAAAGTAACATTAGTAATTCTGTCTAAACTTGGTGAGAAAAAAGTGAAGTGTAATGTATAAATCACACAGATTTCACTTCCAGACCAATCAGCAACAGAAAGTGAATCAATGTGTGTCCACCCTGAACTAAGGCTTCACTACAAATCGAAATGAAATCAAAATCTTTATGTAGGCAAAAGTTGTGACTCATATATATCTTGTCAGATAATCTTGGTTTTGGGATTGAATCTCTTTCCGAAGCCCAGAGAGCACTGTCAAACAGAAACTACAAATATGCAGAAGAAGAAACCCAGAAATCCCCATAGCAATTGCTAAATAAACACAAAATTTAATCGGCTGTATACACAGTTAGTGTTTTTCAGTAAATTATAATGTACTTTCAAATAAACAAGGCTGCTTTTACAGCATCGATGTTGTAATGTAATTTCAATGTATTCAGTTGAATAGACTTAAGCAGGGCTTGACATTAACTTTTTTAATCACCAGCCACTGTGGCTAGTAGATTTCCAACATTACTAGCCACTTGCCATTTTCACTAGCCACAATTTTGTTGTTTGGAAAATATATTTAATATGCACAAATTTGACTTTGACATGCTAAAATTACTTAATTTAGATGTTGTGTTGTCCACATGCCTTCTCATTCATTTCACTTTTTGTGTGTGTCGTGTATGAGCTTGCTCACTGTGCATGAGCAAATGGGTTGTGTTGCAATGCAATTAGTTTTTATTTCACATGACTTTTTCAGGGCTTAAACTTAAAAATTTACCAAATTTATCTCTGACCACACTAAAAAGAAATAAACGTTTTTTTGCAACAAATTTTAAATGTGTCAAAACAAGCAATAGCTGCACATGCATTTTTTATTCAACAAAATTTTTTTTTAAATTGATGTTTAAAAAGATCTATTGTCATGTATTTAAAATATGCACAGTAATCTGGCTAAAGGTCCCAGATCAGCAGTTACTACGCTTAAATGGGGAGTTAATCTCATATTAAAGCAATGTTATTGTAAAGGATGACAATTAAACTATATTAACAAAAATATCTGTAAGCAAAAGAAAGCAGGTGAAACACACCATGTGATAATAAATGGATGATCATGTGCACACAATTAATGTTAGGCCTGTTAATAATCTGTTCAAAGAATAATTTGCTTACGAAAGGATATATGTAACTTTTATTATTTTTTTTTTCAATCTTGAGCTCTTGAAGCACCAGGACTGTGGGTGCACGAGCATTTTTGTCTATTCTATTTCAAAGAGAACTGATCGCACCAGTTGCACTTCCTCTACACACGGTTGTTTCCCGCAATGGGAGCGAGCGCACTTTTTAACAGTCGCGCACATCACATTACCAGTGCGCGTGAGTAATCATCCTCTCATAAGGTAACCTGCTTTTGCTTGCGCGAACATAGTTATTTTTGTCAGTCGTGCTGCTTCTGGATTCTAAGATCACATTTTGGCCGATCCTTATTGTCGAACCCTGCTTTAAGAAAACTACAATGTAGAAATGATTTCCAACCAGCCAAAGAGGCTAGTGGGAGCGGCTGTCCTACCCGCCAGAGCTGAAATGTACCTGCATTTGATGGGTTGGCGGGTGTTAATGTAAAGCCCTGGACTTAAGTGTTCATTTAGTTCATAAAAACAAAATGAAAGACTGTGTAACCACTAGCGTGTCAGGAGAAGCAGGCTAGCACAGAAACTCCATTGAAAATACTAGAGTAAACTGTAATTTGTAATTTTAATGACATGACGTAGGGAAACTTGTAATATAATGCAGTGCTTATTGTCCCAGGACCAACTACATATTGTACATCTATCAGGCAGTGAAGATCACTGATTTTTAAAGAAAATAGATCCTAAATGTAGCAATTTTGTAATAAAAAGTTCACCGGAAGTCCTTGGACTGACTTGCTGAAGACTAAAAGTCTGTGTGCATGTACCCCATTGTTTTCATTGATTCGATGCGACTAATAATCGCACGACTACATAATAATCTCACAAAATGATTTATTTTAAACACTCGGCTGATGTTATGAAATGAGTTTAAAGTAAAAAAAAAAAAAAACACTATCAAAGGTGGTATTTTCACATGCTTTCAGAGTCATAGTTTACTGAGAAGCGTTGCAAACAGCTGCACAATATATCATTTCAGCATTTATATCACAATATGCTCATCAGCAATAGTCACATAGCAATGTCCAGTCTGAATTATAGTTGGCCAGGAGATACAGACTTGTATTTAGTCACTGTATTAATATGTAATTTATATGACTTATGCAAAAACATTTCTTACTTTTTGTAATTTTTTTGTCTTGTTTCTAGTTCAAATATCTACATTTCAAAACAAAAACAAGATTATTTCACTTACCACACTGTCAGATAATTTCCCTAAAACAAGTAAACAACTCTTAATTTTGACTTATTTCGTTTGACGGTGAAAACAAAACAATATTTTAACTTGGAAGAAATTGGAAAGCAGTTGTTTGCAAATTCATTTCACACTGTTGTTCAAAATATTAAGGTTGGGAAGAGGTTTTAAATGGGCTATGAACTGAGAAATTAAAATTCCCTTCATCTTTTGACATATCTTCTGAAAACAAACAGTAAAAATAAATAGTCTGTGGATGTGTGGATGTACTTTTCAGGGCTCAAAATTAACTTTCTTACTTGGTAGCACCGGTGCTCCCAACCTGAAATATTTAGGAGCACCAGAAAAAAATTAGGAGCACCCACCAAAAATGAATGATATATTTGACAAGTTGTATATTAAGGGATTTATTGTATTTGAAAACACAATCAAACATCAATTGGGACTAAAAAAAACACAGAAACAACTATCTAACTAATGCTGTGATGACTTAATATTTGTGCAATAATTCTAAAATGAATGTTGAATAATTATAAAATATTATTGATGATGATGATGATGATGATGATGACAATAATACTAATAATGAATTATATTTCTCATCATCATGCTGCTTTGAATGTGCTTTAATGTAAGTTATCTGCTATGTAAAGTCCTACTGTTAATTTATGAAAAATAAATTGATGGTTTGCATCAAACACAAATGAAGCATTGTAGTGAGAAATATTTATTTTGTACTATTGTTTTATATGCACGTCAATTTAATAAATAATAGTTCTGCTACAAAACAAACGAAATAATATAATAAATCATTCAATTCAATGCTGAAAGCTGCAAAGCAGTCATCAGTAATTAAATAGAAAAATAATATACACCTCAAGAAAGAATAGACAAAAGAAAGTAAGAAAAGTCTCACTTTTAAAAGTTTTGGTTTCGGTTCGTGTCGTTTTAATGCTCAGCCTCGTTACGCGCTGAATTGCATCTTTCTGTGTTTGCAGGAAAGCATGCGAGTCAGCCGACCCAATATATGAGAGGGGCAGAGCAGGATTCTCCCGATGACCACCAGCGCAATACTATTCTTTCTTTGTTATTACCCGCATCAGTTTAAACGCAGTAAAGGCAAGCTTCTTTGGCGAATGTGTTTTAGCGGACATTTGCGCTGTTGCAGCCTGATCTCACGAGGAAACGTATGAAAATGTTACGAATTGCCGTGAGATTGTGTTGGCTGAACACGCAGTGCATGCAACGCATCGAGATTCAGTGTACTTTTCACTCTTCAGCCGTTTGCATTCCCCGCGGTCACAAAAGCTCCCTCCCTGTCATCTGACAGTGGAAAGTCTTGAGTGATTGACAGCTAATATGAACCAATATAACGGCAGGGAAGACCGATTTTACCACGTTTTTAGAAAAAAAACAAACAGGTCGCACTACATTTATTATATGCAGTCGCACGAATGCTCCCAATATATATTATGAGGTCGCATAGCTTAAATTTCAGGCACATATGCGACCAAAATGGTCGCAATTTCGAGCCCTGCTTTATATTTAATGACATTCCAGACCACATCAGGAAGAACTTGGTCCTTTAATTCACTTAATTTTAATGAAGATGTCTTTATAAGCAAAGCCTATTTCGTTATTGGGTTTCAGAAAGTTTAAAAGGCTTATTGACAAATGCTGGACATCTTAATAACATCTCACAACTTCCATCAAACACACAAAGTAACACTTCACAAGATTTGTTTTGCTACAGCATGGCACATCTTGCATGATTGCTCACAGTTTACATCATATGAAGTGTCTATTAGTGGAGAATTACAGTACAGGCAGGGGTGACTCACATGGGGCGTAAAACATCATGAGGATTGGCCTCTCCTCTCTTTTTAGCAGTTTTCGGAAATCCTGCAAGCCAAACAACACAAAGCCAGTGAGTCAAACACTCTGGGTTGAGTGCCAGTAATCTTTAGAAGAGTTTCAGGTGATCTCATTAAAATCAATAAACATGGGCACAGATTTCCTGGTCCAGTCCGCTAACATGGTATATCATTTCATTACTTCATCGGACATCAACACAGTGCTAGTACTGTAAATGTGTCTGAGTTGATGTTGTTGTTTTTTTTTTAAAGAAGTCTGTCTTCAGCCACTGTCATCTGCAATGTGTTTATATAAATCTATTTTAAATACATATAAAAAGTTAGATAAAGTTAGGGTTAGGTTTAGAGTAGAGATGTAGGTAATTTTTTTTTTTTACAAAGTAAAGTTTTTAATTAAAGGGTCAGCTACTCCAAAAATCGAAATCATTCTTTAGTGTCCATCTTTGCAAGACAAATGAAAAAATTTTCAATTTATTAAGTATTAAACCAATTCTCTTGACACTTTAAGAAATGAATTCAATAATTTTCCTTCAGCTTATTCCCTGATTTATCAGCAGTTGCCACAGCGGAACGAACCACCGACTACTCTGGCATATGTTTTACGCAGCGGATGCCCTTTCAGCCAAAACCCAGCACTGTGATTCAATGAATTCAAAATGATATACCGTTTGTAATTGGCTTTCTTTACAATACCTGGATTAAACTGATCGATTAATGGATGAATGGACTTATTTTTTCTTTTCAATACAAATGTTTTATAGTATCACAATTCTGGGTTACAAGACCTCCAGTGAAAAGAGGAAATCTCTATTTTATCAAACACTTTGTTTGTATTTCAAAATGAAGTCTTATGGGGTTGGTACAACTTGTAGCTTAGCAAATTATGATAAAATTTCCAGTGTTAAAACTTTAATATTAAATGTACAGCCATTCATAGTTCGATTTTGAATAAAGGTTGTTGTATTTTGTAACCATTTATTTTATGGTGTTACACATGTTACATGTATTACAATATTACTATTAATATACTATTATTTAATTATGCACAATTACATGCGACTAACCTAAAACAAAAGGCACATTCTAACCCCAACCATTAAATAAGGACATGTAGTTAATAAATATTTATATTTTATACTTTAATATAATGATAGTGTAACTATACTATACTAATACTTTTTAAAACAGAATTGCACTGTAACAAGAACACTGTAAAATGTAGTTTAATCAAAATTTATACTCGAAACGTTCAAATTGTAAGGCTAGCACATTAAAGCCGACGTTTGTTCCTGGACACACAGTCCAGCCGCCAGATTGATCCTCTAGAGACAGAAGAATAGACAGGTTCTTCTGTTGCAGATTTCTTTGCTTCAAGTCTTTTGTCCTGTGTGAAGTTCCCACACCTGATTAATACTCAGCAGAAAACTGATCTTCACTGCAGTGAGCGAAACTTACCTTCTCTGACTCGATGTGAACAACATCTTTGGCCTCAGGGTTCTCCTCCCACAGGGGGGCACCTGCAGGGTCTTTCAGAAACGCCACCATGGACTAAAAGAGGAAAGAGAGTAGACAGAAACTTTGAAAAGAGACCATCAGAGAGCCATCGGTCACTGACAAAATGAAATCGATCACTGTTAAATTTGAGGAATGGAACTAATTATAGAACATTCTTGGGGTGTAATTGGATGTACACTTGCACTGAATTAATACTGAGTTAGCAAATGCTGAAAGAAAGTATGACTTTTATCATGCAAAATCATGTCTATACTCTCATTTTCAATAAAAGTGTTATGTTCTTTATTTCAAATAAATAAATAAATAATTAAAAGCCTACTGACCTTAACTTAATTATGAATATACACAATTACAAAATAAATCTTTTACAGGTTTGGCTCTTATTAATGTGAGTACAAATGATTTTGTCAACCCCAGTGGGTTAAAGTACCTATTAAACTTATTACAAAAAAAAAAAAAAAACTACTAAATTATGTGTTATGCAAGTGTAGATTATCGACAAATACCTCAGGACTACATGGCATTTATTAACATTTTATGTGTATTTTCTTATGCTCATAAAAAGTGTTCATTAAAATATTAACATTGCCTTGAAATGTAAACAGGAAATGAACATTTACTAGTACTGGAACTGATTTCTTTATTACTATTTTCAGCCCATGCTCATTAGAAAATACTTGCCTCAGTCTACATTTTTGCAAAACATAATAAGTTGCTCCAGCTACATTTTGTTGCATGGTTCAGGTGACAAACTCACTAGAGGGCGCTGTCTAAATTTTTGCAAATCTGAAATGTTACTTGTTGAATACTTGTATGTTTCATTGTAGATTTAGGATGCACATCCTTCTTATACAGGTCCATGAGAAGGTGGGGCTTGTTGTATTGATCACAAAGCAACACAGTACAAAGTGACCTAAACCCTTTTCTAGACTGAATAAATTGTTTTCAAGAGCAAGAGTAAGATAAAGTGCTCTGCGACCACAGTTTTACCTTAATTATGCGTTGCTTTTATCTCTTGTTTGAAACCAGCATCATATAATACCTTACAAAGTGAGCTTCATTAACTACATTAATAAAACTCTTTATTTATTAATAATATGTGCCTGTAAATGTCATTAGTGTGAAAAGGAACAAAGCTGTTGGTATCAAACCCCGTAGCCTTTATTTTAAATAGAAACTGCAGACTTATATTTAAGTTTAAAAATCGTGGGCTGAAGCACATATTTCAGTAACAGATTAGTTTAGGTCACAATTCACACTATTAACTACTTGCTTATTACCTGCAATTATTAAGTTACTAACTATTGATTAGCAGTTATAAAGTATGATCTTATTCCGTTTCCCTAATCCTATCCAAAACCTAAACCCAACTTCTACCTTACCAACTATTAATAAGCAGATAATTAATAATTTATTAAGCTAGTGGTGTTAGTTAATGGTTTGTTAATACCGTGAATTTTGATCTAAACTAAAGTGTTACTCATATTTCCAATGAGCCTGTGTTGCTAATTTTGCTTCACATTAATATTTTAAACTTGCTCCAAGTGCACCTTGAACATAAAATGTAGTGAGAGTTATAAGCCACAGAAAACATTTTCCTCTTGCACAATTACAAATTTACCTCCTAATCTATGCAACCTATAAGGAACTAAAAAACCCCTCGACATGAAGTGCTGGAAGTACCGCTGTACCAAGCGAAAATGAAGAGCAATATGTGGTACTTATCAGCAGGTGCATTTAATAAGAGCTCTCCATTCTTTCCACACCAGTGGCTCCAGCGAACATGTCCCATCACAGTCTCATCATCCAGCAAAAGCTCAGCTCATTCATTTTTAACATATTCACATTACAGCTCCTCTCATTCCACAGCCATTCATCAACGCCTCGTCACATTCGCTCATAATTGAGCTGAAAGGCATGTGGAGAATGAGATAGGTGAGAGAAACCAATGGGACAAGTTTGATTCGCCTTCCTACAAAACCATACGCTTTTTTCTGGCTCTGTTGCTTCAGGCTGAGCACTGTGAAATAACAGCCACGGGAAAACTGTGGACGTTTAGCAAGTAAATAGCAACACAGACTGATTCATCCATTCACACGTGACAGAGCGTGCATTCGGAAAGGCACTGATGGCGTTTTCTCAAAAATGCAATATATATGTCTAACAAAGAAATATTGATGAGCTGGATTCGAAACAAGGCTTCTTAAAATGCTGTCATTTTTTGTCAAAGATGACTTCAGCAAAATGCAATTTTACAAAGAAATTACCTTAATTGTGGCTGGTCTGTTGTATTCTGTGTGGAAAGTCCCATCCCTAAAAAGCAACACAAAACCAAAAGATGAATCGCTGTGTTCATGGCCCTCAATAATAATAATAATAACCTGCAAGATTTCAACCACCACTTTTACATGCATCTCAGAAAATGGAGGTGGTTCTTACTTGTAATGCAGGAGCTCAACTCCTTTGGTTTTCGAGCTGGGGTCTACCTTGACTTTTTTACAGAGTTTGCGGCCTTCTGAATCCCTGTGGTGGGGAATGTACAGAAAAATAAAAAAACGAACTCTCATGAATAAACATGAATATTATTCTCATATAGTGTTACAATACATATTTTCTGTTATATTTGAGCTTGTCAACTTTAACACATTAATGCATTGGATTCATTTAAATTTTAATGCAGATAACGCAAATAAATTGCGTATGTAGATATGAATCATTAACTAAATTTACATCATTGTAGTTTAACAACCACAAACCTGCAGGCATACATTTCTATTGTAACCTGTTAACCGGATTTCACTTCCTTCTTTGTGATCATTTTAATTCCAAGAAACATTTTATTCAGTGATGTAGTAAAGTGATTATTCATTCAAACAATCATCCCCCCAAAAAAGGACTTGCAGCCAGTTTTTAGTGAATTATTCATTCTAATATGTGCAATTTAATTATAATTGATTAATTCAAATGTATCATTGTTTAATGCAGATAATGCAATTAAATTGTGCATGTGGATAAGAATCATTAACTAAATATATACGTCACACAGTTGCAGAGTTTAACAGCATACATTTCTATTGTAACCTCTTATCCTGATTTCACTTCCTTTTTGACAATAAATTTAATTCACAAAATTCCAAGAAACAGTTTAGTTAGTGATGTAGTAAAGTGATAATTCATTCAAACAATCATCACAGAAACAGGGACTTCCAGCCAGTTTTCAGTGAATTATTCATTCTACACTACCTGACAAAAGTCTTGTCACCTATCCAAGTTTTAGGAACAACAAATAATAACTTATAGTTGATCATTTGGTAACAGAAGTGGCTTAAATGAAAGGCAAGGGCCTCTAAATTACACTTATTTTACCAAAATAAAATATGACAGTAAAGTCTGACTTTGCCATGACAAAAGTCTTGTCACATAAAAGAAATAATGTACAGTATAGAATATAAAGTCATGGTGCAGTGGAACAAGAATTAATATTGTGTATGACTCCTATGAGCTTGGACAACTGCATCCATACATCTCTGCAATGACTCAAATAACTTATTAATAAACTCAATTGGATTGACAAAAAAAGCGTTTAAAAAAGCAAGATTATTTGGATTCATCTTCAATGCCTCCCCCATCTTACTCCAGACATGCTCAATAATGTTAATGTCTGGTGACCAGGCTGACCAATACTGGAAGCGTTGACTTTCTTTATTTTCAGAAACTTTGATGTAGAGGTTAAAGTCTGATTCATAGGAAAAATCTACCTTCTGCCACTTTTGCAAATGATCAACTAGAAGTAATTATTTGTTGCTCTTACAACTGGGATCAATGACAAGTCTTTTGTCAGGTATTGTAATATGTACTATATTATATTAAAAAAGCTTACAGAAGTTATTTAACTTGAATAGTCACCTTTTGTTTAATAATTAAGCACATTGTTTGCATACTCGATTCAATTCTAGTAACTGAATCTAATAAAAAATATACTATAAAATGAACCAATGAAAAAAACCAAGGCTTGAGCGAAGTAAATTCACTATAGTATCTGCAGGCACAATCAATTACCTTCATACTTTTTGTGCAAACTCAGAGGCGAAAGCGAACATTAAGTCACAGCGAATTATGCTCAACAAATATTATAATCACATTATTCTATTATAACACAAGTGCACGAAGGACATTTGTCATGCAAATTGATGCAGCCAAAAAGTGAAGTGATACAATTAATGTCCCAAGACATTAAATAAATTGCTGTAGCAGCAATACGAGCGCGCTCATGGGAAGCGACAGATGACCACAGCAATAAGCTAATGTATGGGCCGCTTCTGAGTTTTGGCAAACCCTGTCATTCTTCTCTTTTTGAAGGACAAGACATTCAGCTGCTTTTGCTTTAGTGTATTACACAGAAACTCTGCTTGCTTTAATTCAGAGCCACAGGTCTTCAGATAAGAAAAAAAGGAGTATTTCCTTCAGCTCTACTTTTGCATGTAGCAGAGTGTGCTTTAAAAAGTGTTAACATTGATTTGTTTTTTAACAGATATGTGGTACTGGTAGCATTGTGTACACAAAATGCTTCACTTTATTTCCCCAGACTTCTTTTTGAATCATTAATTCAATGTGTGTTTTATAGGAAGAATGATTAGACATAAATAAAGATAGAGTAAGTACTTATCTAGGATAATATTAAAGCAGCATGTAAAGTAGCTATATCTTATCATGTGGACACATTTTTCAGAATGCAAACAAAATAATTTTGTTCCATTTTCTCAATTTTTTTTGCACAAACTCTACCACGGAAGGAGTTTATCATGGTAAAGCATATGGACAAATGTACTTTGACTTCTAGTTGATCATTTGGAAGATAAGGTAGAATTTTCACATGAATCATCAGTTGAACTGCATCCCAACTCATCAGAAATACTGCAGAAGACCTATTGGAACCCACATGGACCAAAGATTCTCACAAAAATCAGTCAAGTTTAGTGAAGGAAAAATCATGGTTTGGGGTTACATTTAGTATGGGGGCTTGCGAGAGATCTGCAGAGTCGAAGGCAACATCAACAGCCTGAGGTATCAAGACATTTTGTTCTGCCCATTACATTACAAACCAAAGAAGAGGGCAAATTCTTCAGCAGGATAGCTCCTTCTCATACTTCAGCCTCCACATCATAGTTCTCGAAAGCAAAGAAGGTCAAAGTGCCAGCCCAGTCATTAGACATGAACATTATTGAGCATATCTGGCGTAAAATGAAGGAGGAGGCATTAAAGATGAATTCAGGGAATCTTGGGAGTCTTGCAAGAACGCTTTTTTGCCATTATAGATGACTTTTTTAATAAGTCATTTCAGTCATTGCAGAGATGTATGGATACAGTCCTCCAAGCTCCTGGGAGTCATATACAATGTTCATTCTTTTTCCACTGCATCATGAATTTATATTCTATGCTGTACAATATTTCTGTTTGTGCACAAAACTTTTGTCTTGGCAAAGTCAGACCTTACTGTCCTAATTAAATAATTTAAAATCAAGGCATGATCATATTTCAGTTTGGTTAAATAAGTGTAAGTCTAGAGGCCTTTGCCTTTCATATACTGTAAGCCACTTCTGTCACTAAATGATCAACTAGAACAGGGATGTCAAACTCGGTCCTGGAGGGCCGGTGTCCTGGAGAGTTTAGCTCCAACCCTAATCAAAAACAGCTGAACCAGCTAATCAAGCTCTTACTAGATATACTAGAAACTTCCTGGCAGGTGTGTTGAAGCAAGTTGGAGCTAAACTCAGCAGGACACCGGCCCTCCAGGACCGAGTTTGGACACCCCTGAACCAGAAGTTATTATTTGTTGTTTCTAAAATCTGGATAGGCAACAAGACTTTTGTCAGGTAGTGTATTATCTTGAAATATGTGTATCATTATCGTTAGATATAGAAAACAATTATCGAGACTGCATTTTTGGCATATCGCCTAGCCCTAGTAAAGCATTTGTAACTTTTGTAAGAATAAAAGAAATACTGGAAACATAAGCAGATACATATTTACAAGAAGAAAATTATATTTTTTATGTTTAGTACAAGGTTGAGACTGCAAACTATAGAAAATAAACTGAGAGCGCATAATTCAGTTAATATTTATTTGAACTTTCTAACTGACAAACAATTTTTTGAAGAATAACTTTCACTGCCCAAAAAATAAATAAATAAATAAATATATATAAATAAAATAAAAGCTTGGCTTTTAGGAGTTTCTGGACCTATTTTTAAACTTTTAGGACTTTCTGGAGTTCCATGTCCTATTTATGGGAAAGTGCCACATAGGGATTAAAAATAATAATAATAAATTCATTGCACAAAAAAAAAAAAAAACAGAACGCTCCAGTTACCGACAAATTTATCTTTGTCATATACCCGATGACAAAAAACTAAAATAACAGCAACAAAGCACTCAATCTTCAAACTCACACCTTAACAGAACCTGAGAAAAGAAAGGACCCCCAATTACCTGGTCCCACTGTCACCACACATACACCCACACTCTCCCGAAGAGATCCAGATCGCTCAATTGAAAAGACTCCCTTTTCCCTTGAGTGATAATGAGCATGGAAATGTATTACATAAGGACAAATAGGAGCAGAGAGGACTCGGCAGCGATCTAAAGCCCCATGCTAATGGAAATTCAAAGAGACGGAATTCAATTATGCTTCTGACAGCATCCGCCCCCAACCGGCTCCGTCCCTTAAAGGTAGATGAGAAGCCATCATTAGCGTTATGCATTTCCCACATAACGCCTTTGTGGGAGGACTGAGAGAGGTGCGCTGGAGATCAGAGCTCAGGCTGTCAGGTGGGAAACTCAATTAGACATGCTGTGTGTTGAACGAGCTGACATCGGATCACAGATGCGTACCCCTACAATCCTGTTCGGTGCTCCAAAATAATTGGTCATCCTTGTCAAGCACCGCACGACATTCTAAAGCATCAGAGTCATGGGTCAAGTCAATATGTTTTGCTTGTGGGGAGTTCGAGTATCCGAGGGTCAAAATTGCTGCTATCGAACAAGATTTTTTTTGGCCCCAAGCAAGTTGAGAAGACAAAAATGGGAAGTTTAAAGCCAAAACACTCTTTTGGAAGTTTACAAACTTTTGGCTTGCTTGGTTTGGGTCAGTGGAGCTGCCCTTTAGTGTATTGTTAAATTATTAATATTAAACTTAATTGAATAATTTTTAACAAACCAGAACCACACCAGCATTTTACTATATATTTTGCTATCTGCTTGATATATTGAATATGTTCCATTATTAAATGTTGCTATCTAATTTACTTCTTCGCTTGTTCTTCCTTTTAGCACAGCTTTGACAATATTCTTAGTGACTTTACTTGACTTTGCAGATAGAATCAGAGTGGATTGACTTAATATTTTATTGTTTTCTGATATCTAAATGACTGGGGTAAATTAAAAAATCCTAAGAAACTTTGTTTGGAACCAGAAATTAGGGCTGCATCATACTGGAAGATTTGATATTGTGATGTTTTACTTTTCTGCAATAAATATTGTGATATGAATACAGTTACACAAGATAGTTTGGATAGAACTAAAGTATTTGATGTTTTTCAGGGCAGTCTAACAGTATCCAGGCACAGAAATTGAATAACCACAATGCAAAAACTAATTTTCTTACTTTGTTTTGTCTCATTTCTAATCCAAATATAAAAAAGTTCTAAGAGCATGTAAAAAATATTGTTTGGTTTTTAACTTCAGAAGAAATAAGTCAAAATTAAGAGTCATCTGCCTGTGGTGTAAGCAAAATAACCTTGTTTTTGCTTTGAAATGTAGATTTTTGGACTAGAAACTAGACAAAATACAAGACAAGACAAAAAGTATGTACATTCTTTTTGCCATAAATCACACAAATTTCATATAAATACACTGAATAAGTGCAATTCTGTAGCTCCTAGTCAACTATAACTCAGACTCAACTGCATATCTTGCGATGTGATAGTGGCAGATGCAGACATTGCGATATCGATGACGAACTGATATATTGTGCAGCCCTAACTGAAATTACCCATAGAATGAAAAGCTCAGGTTTGACCATATTTGGATCGACCATGGATATTAATTAATTTACAATGCATATTTTATTTAAAATACCTATTTTCTAAAATACATACAATTAATTTAAACTACATTTTTTCATTAAAAATAAAAATGTATTTTTAATTTAAAATACATCTATTAATTAATTTAATAGTAAAATACATCTCACACCATTAATTAATTAATTTAAAATACATCATGAACCCAAGAGTTCATGCCATTCCTGTTTTCACTTAGGAGTACAGTAAATACATCCAAGCTTAGATAAACATAAAAAAATAAATAAATAAAAAAAAAAAGGGGGGGGGGGTGTCATTGTTGTAATCTTACAAGGAAAAATAGTCGTTAAGCCTGGGGCGTGCATATTAATTATGCTGCTTGGATCATCAAAGTCTGTGAAATATTATGATTGCTCTGTTTTTCACTCGTATTTTACACTTGTGGGATTTACCCAGGCTTGAGGCTCAAAGAATGTGCTTTACTGAACTTTTATCATTCATCTACACCTAGGTATATCCAGATATTCATTCTATGGCACCTTTAAAACCAATAAAAGTTTAAAGGTTCAAACTAAAGGCAACTGCCGTATTTTAACACATTTTCGTTAAGAATCCTATTTTATCATTCAGACTTCAGGATAATTGCATTCCCATTTTCTTCATACCAATCCCGCTCTTCCATGACCTACTTTTTTTTAATGGTATCCCCCAGTGGACTGCAGTTGGCGATCTCTCAGGTCCCTGTCATCTGAAGGAAATATGTGGGCGTATCTCTGCTTTGCTCTATCACACTGCAGCCTGTGCAGAGTTACTTTTTTTATACCCAGCTTTATATAAGTTTCTCGCATTGGGGACCCAATGTACCCAAGACGGTCTCATAACATGGTTCTGGGGAAAAGAAACCACCATGCCTGCATGGCTAGCATAATTCACAAAATTATAATTTGGTATATTTAGTATGTTTAAAGTTACAGTTGGATATGTTTTTGGTACAGCAGAATGGGAAAATTATTGCTCATTTATGCATAGTGAGTTATCAAATACTTTGTGGCTCTGTTTTTTTCAGGGCTGTCTTGATTTTGAAATTATTGCAATTAATTTGTTTGGTACACAATCATACTGACCCAAAAGCTAGAACATTATGTTTACATTTACTTTAGTTTATAAAAAGATGCAGTTATATTTGCCTGCCACATCCAACCATTTACAGTACCACACAGCCATTGAGAAATGATTTAGAGGCAAGCTTTGACTGCTAAATCTCACAAACATATTTTCTAAACAGACAGAAGATGCTGAGCTGTCCTGAACTTGGATTTAAAAGAACAAGATAATTCATACTACAATCCAACATAATCCAAGAATCTGAGGTAATTACCAGTGTTGGACACGGTTTTTTAAAAGAGTAATGAGTTATACTGTAGTTACTAGTTACTTCTCACAGATAGTAACAGAGTTAGTAACTGATTTTCATTATTATTACTTTAATTGTTAACAAAACATACAGGTTGAAAAAACAATATAATGAAATATATCAATTCAACTATAGCCACCCCCCTCCCCTGCAGACTCTTTAAACTGGGGTATCCAATGAATAGACGTTAACAAAAAAACAAAGTACAGTATCAAGTATACAAAATAAGTCAATCATTCTCTATCCTGATCATTGTTTTGAGCAATAAACATGGCGATTTTGTCAGCAGCTGAAGTCCAGGGGCCTCATGTACGAAGACTTGCGTGGAAATCTTACTAAAACATTGCGTACGCACAAAGCTGTAAATGTGCGTACGCAGAAAAAAATTCAGATGTATGAAACACTGCGTACGCCGAGTCTCACGCATATTCTTTTGTACATCCGAATGAACGTGAAACTGAGCGCAACATGCACGAGCACAAAACCCCTCCCTGCCTCCTCCCCCGTATGAATATGCTAATGACTATGCTAATGGCAAAACCCAACGAAAAAGCAACGGCAAAAGCAAGCAAAAAGAGAAACTTTGAACAGAATGTGAATTGGAGGTGCTGCTTTCGGAGGTAGATCGGAGAAAAGCGGTGTTATTTGCAAGTTTGTTTTTCGGAATTAACAACAAAAGAAAAAAATAGAGTGGGAGAGTTTAGCTGATGCGGTTAACACAGTTGGGTCTGAACATCGCACTGAGTGCATTAAAAAAAAAAAATTGTCTGGTTTATATCTGTAAAATGTTGCAGCACTCTGAACAGTCTCAGTGGCGCGCTCGTAAGACGCTTGTGAACATGTTTTGACATGTTCGAGCATGAACTCGGCTCGAATCCAGCGTCTGATGAACTCTTTCTTCTTTTTTTCCCCGCTACATATCATATTTTGCCAACTATTTCTCACGAGAAAGACTAGTAGGAATCATTAATAAGTTTGTGCATCATATTTTATTTGCACATTTATTGAATGGAAATGTTTCTGATTCACGCATGCAAATTCATCTTCAGATAGTGTCTTTATAGCAATGTGCGTGCAGTAGATCGCTCAGATTACATTGGGAAAACAGGCGACCGCTGCAAATTGTGCTTTAATGTTTAGCTGGTCAACTGTATGGTATGGAAATCTTACATACCTACTAGATGAACCCGTCTCATACAGCTGCCATTGCAAGGATCAGACACTTTGTAGAGAAGAATTTAACACAACTGCCTCTAGGAGTCGCCAATGGAAATAAAACAGACACGCACAAAAAATGTGCGTACGCCTGCCAAAAAGCTGCCGTGAACCTGCGCACATTCCCACGTTCAGTTCATTGTTAGTAAATCCAAACGTGAGCGATTCTGAGCGTGAAACCTGGCGTACGCAAAGTTTTTGTGCGTACGCAGCGTTGATACATGAGGCCCCAGATCTTTAATGTACTCATTTGTACAAAGTTCACTCTTTGTACAACTTAGAGCTGTGGATAAGTTCAACAATATAATGTCCTGAAGTTGTACCAACCACTTTTCCAAAATTACATGTCCAAATTATGTAGATGCAGCTAATGTTGGGCTAGGAGTTTTTTTGCAGAAGTTAAGCCAGCCAGTCAAACAACTTTTTGTAGCTTTGTAAGACGTAGAATCATCACTCAGTAATAGAATGAAGGAATTCACAGGTACAGGATATTCAATAATTTTAGATAAGATATACATTACATAATTACACTGGAAAAGTAACTAAAAATTTTGGTTTCTCAAATGACTATAAAATAAAAAAACAACTTAATTTATAAATAATTTAAAAATATTAAATTTATTTTTTAAATGTAAAACATTGTACACTAATCTACACTATTTTAATGTTATTGTGGGACAATTCGAGAGACAACAGCAGCATGTCCTCAACTATATATCTAGATACTGTTCAGTTTAATTCTGTCTGAGTAATGAGTGTTTGCGGGGGCGAAAAACTAAGTTTGATATGCTTTGATGTCATGGCTTTGTTTCCTCCTTTGGTAGCAGAACTCACGAAATCACAATAACAAATAATATACAATAACGTAGATTGACCAAATTATGAAAATAATCAAATCCTCCAGAAGGTTTTGAAATAAAAACAAGCTTTACATAAACATACTTTGACAAAAAAACATCAACCCCAGTCAAAAAAACCATGAACACTTGTTAAAATGTCCATCCAGACTGCCAAAGAGCAAAATTGATTGAAACTCACCCACAATTCACCCAAGCGATGGTCCCTTGACCTTTCACAGCCTGAGCCACATCAGACAGCAGCTTTAGATGAGCATCTCCAGATGAGGCTGAGGATAAAAAAAGTCACATTGAAAAAGACCGGAGAGAAACAGAAACACATTTAAATATGATGAGCTTGTATCCTATACTGAGCCCACAGCACCTGCATGACCCCTGCGGAAAGCACACTATAAATAGACTCAATTATGTGCTTAATTTCCCTTCAGCTCATTTAATTTTTCATAATTTTACAAATATATTTTCACATTTAGCTGGTACTGATTTGCATTTTAATAGGCTACTAAGCGCACCATTACCAGTTAAAAAGATCTGGGGTTTTCTACGGTACTCTGATTAGTGTTTACATAGAAGCTCTTTATCTTTATATTGCACAATCAGTCAGATTAATAACAGACTATTAGGCTTCATGTAAACACCGATATGCTGGGCTAACAAATCTTTGCATGGGAATGTACAGTATAAATGGAAATAAAAAGATGCACTTGGGTAATAACACAAATTATGTGGATTCAGATTCAAACATAATTCCCATCATTATAGACATACTCTATATTAGTTGTCTAGAAATTTAACTATAACATGGAAAATATGTGACGGTCAAAAAGTTGACTGTATAAATGGTAATGTTTTTTTTTTTTTTTCAGATAAATGATGGTCTTTAGACCTTTGTTTACCAAAACTACCACAAAATGTTAAGTAGCACAAGTGTTTATACATTAATAATATTAATCAATGTTTCTTAATCAACAAATCATTATATTAAAAAGACAAATATAATATAATTTAGCTGGCACTTTTATCCAAAGTGACATACAAATGAGGAATACAGCAAGTAATAATAATAAAGAGGCAAATAATCACAAAAAGTGCAATAAAATATAGTAACATACTTTATTATAATTTAGTAAAATAAGAGCCAGAATAAAGAAACAGAAAGCAGAGAAGCCTTTTTATGGCTTCTATATAAAATAGATAACAAAATATCTTCAGTGTGTAAAAGTATATGGGTTTCTATGTTTGATTGGTGCAAAGTCGATAAAAAAGCAATCTGTTGTGGAAATGAAACGCTATTGATTACTTGTATATTGTTGTGCAATAAATAGCACATCCATCAATTTTTCTTAAAGTGAGCGCTGAAGGATTGCCACTGTCATCAGGGGAAGCACAATTTTTACGGTTACTGAGTGATTAAAAGGGCAGGGCTAAAGGTGTTGCTCAAATATAACAATATAAAAAAAAATATTACAATATAAAATGGAGTCAAATTTGTAAAAATAATACATAATAATAAATAGCTGACTTTATAACTATGAGGTGGATTCTTTAAGCAATTGTATACAAAGCTACAATGTACATGGGATTTCATTTTTAACACTCCACCTTTTTGTTTACACACAATACAGACTTTTTTGCCTCTTCACAAACTATTTAGTTGTCTATGATACAGTGGGGGAAATACGTATTCAACAATTCACCATTTTTCTCAGAAAGCATATTTTTAAAGGCGCTGTTGACTTTAATCTTTCACCAGATATTGATAACAACCAAAGAAATCCATATATGCAAAGAAAACTAATCTAATTAGTTTACAAATTAAGTTACATGTGTAATAAAATGAAGTGACACAGGAAAAAAGTACATGAGCACATGAAGAGAGAGAGCTGTAGAAAGGCAGTGAAAGCCCAGACAGCAGTTGAAATATCTCAGTAGTTATTCAGCAACCCTCAGCCTTTTCATCGTTATAAATTAATATTAGCTGCTTCGGTCCAACATCTACATTACCAGGATAATAAAGATGAAATCAGAGTGGACATTTCAGCAAGACATTGATCCAAAACACAGACAAAAAAAAAAAAAAAAAAACTTTCGGAGAAAGAAAGTCAAGCTGTTGAATGGCCCAGCCAATTACCTGATTTGAATCCAATAGAGAATACAAAATGAAGATCAGATTTGTAAGATGAGACCCACAGAACCATCAAGATTTTTACACTTTGTAGTAGTCTGTGTAAAACCCACACCTGAGCAAGTGGGTATATGCCGAGCTAGTGAGTTTCCCATACTGATAAACTTCTGGTGACCTGTTCATGTCAGTTTTTTCCCCCCATTTTATATGGTTCCTTTTACAGCATCGATGTTGTAATGTAATTCAAATACAATCAGTTAAACAGACTTTGGCATTCATTTAGTTGCTCAAGTGTAAAATGAGACAAAAAGCCGTTTGCTCGCACGTGCCCGTCAAAATCGGCAGGCTAGCGCAGAAGCTCCATTGAATTTACTGGGGTAAAATAAATGCTCATATTATAAAGACATTTTAATGCAGTGCTTCTTGTACAATCTGAGAACCACTTTATATCAAATATCACTCAGCCCGTGGAGATTGCTGATTTTGAAAGAAATCAGACCTTAAACACACAGTTTGCATTGGCATACAATTCACTGGAAACGATTAACCCAGGTTACTGGCAAATTAAAAGTCCTATTAGCATGCTTCGGCATATACCCTATTAATGTGACCAGATTCTCCATATGAGAGGCATCTTTTAGATGGCATCACCAAAAAAAACTTTCTTATAAGGTATGAATACATTTCAGTAGTTCAGTACATTCTTCTTGTCACATAACTTTTTTTTTTGTTTTGTTATATTTTTATGCCTGTATTGTTTGAGTTTTTACCAAAATATGGTTCAATTCCATGTCAACAGCTCCTTCAGAAATATTTTTCACAGAAATAAAATATGACATGTTGAATACTTATTTCCCCCAATGTAGATAACTGACATAACATTTATAGTATATTTAGAAAAGCATTTAAAAAATATATGTTAACAAATAAATCGTGAAAAATTATAATGAATTTATTGTATTTTACTTCAATTTAATTTATTTATTTATTATACAAAAAGGTTAAGTGAATCTCTGCATTTCTGCCTATAGTACTCGTGGTGTTGAAAGCATTGCACCTCAGTACAGAACAACAGCACACAGTGTGAAAAGTACTACGTGTGGAAACACACTGACAGCTTCACTACACCCCAGATTTACACACATGTGACTGTGATTTCCTACTACACAGCTGAACCCATGATCTGCTTTTCTTCAAATTAATCGCACTGGCCCAAACCAAAGGGACGATAAATTTAGAGTCCACAGTTTATTTTGGGCTTTAATCGAAGGAATGGAGTTGAATGAGAAGTGCGTCTGTGCTCTGCCTGATCATGAATGCAGTCTGAAGGGACTTCCGCAGTTAGCAGGAAGCCTCTAATGGAAATGCTTCACAGGATGAGCGGCGCTAGTCGTCCATCAATCAAACACACTGCTCGATACACCGTCTCATCCAATGACCTCATGTGCTCGAAATGAGTCGTGAATTATGAAACAAATAAATCTCACACAGCAAGACCTTGAGAGGCTCTTTCCCTTTGCGTCGTGGGTGGGAGATTGTTTATGGACCGTTCATCCATACGGTAGTCATATATGGCGCCGTGCCTGTTAGTCCTGATAATAAGTAGTGATGCAAATGCAGCTATTTTTTTTCTTCTTCTAATTAAAGGTAAAGAGAGATGCAGTACTCTAGATGTAAGTCCTATATGCTTCTCTGTTCCTTTAGAGCTTTGTCTGATATCCTGATGGTCTAATGAGTGTGGGAAGTGAAGACAATACTTAAATATATATAAAAGAAAGTTGGACCCCATTTAAGATCATGTGACTGTGTGGAGATCTGGTTCTGCTATATGCCAAGCAATGTTGGGTGTAATTAAATGGACGCACTTTACAATAATGTTTCATTAGTTAATGTATTTACTAACATGAATTAAATTTGAACAATACTTGTAAAGCATTTCTTAATCTTATAGCATAATCAGAGCTTTCTTAATGACTTTCCCCAAGTGTATTTATGCATACAGTTCAAACCATGCAAGCCTAAGTTAATTTTTGTGCATTATGTCCTGAAATGTGTCAGGATGCAAGCAACAATTAATGTTCAGAAGCGTAATCATAAAATATCTGCTTCTATGGGGAGTTTTCTTTCTCCAAGATAAATACCATCATGGCAGAAAGACAGAAGTTTGAAGACGCTTTTGCTGAGCAAGTTAAAGTCAGCATGTTTATAGCTAAAGCAAGCCTCAACAGTAATTATGCCTAGATGTTCACTTTCACGAACATTATCACTGGCATCACCACAAAACAAATGATCAAACTTTATTTTTGGAAATGTTAAGTACACATTGCTTAAAAGGTTCAATCAGCACTCGTTTTTAACAGGGGAATTAATTTTTATTAAGGTTTTTTAATGCTCACCAAGGGTGATAAGCACCATATCAATAGTAAAATTACCAAAACGTGAAAATATTACCATTAAATATGACTGCATGTAATACTATTATGTCTCTTTATAATTATGGCTCTTTATAATGCTGAAAAAAGTTTTGCTGTACAGCATTTTTGTGAAAACCATGAAATTTTCTTCAGGATTCTTTGTTAAATAGAATTTTAAATATATAAAATATATTATATTTTATATATTATTTATTGTTATATATTACTATTTATATGTTATAAAAATATTCTGTTACAAAAATAAAATGTACAATTATTTCAAAATAATTCTTGAACTACACTGTACAGAACATGATGAAAATAATTACTGATACTGCATACTGATTGTATCTAATTTTGCTGATATTTTCATATAAGTAATATTTGCCATTACAGACCAGTGGACTTTATAGTCCAGGCGTGGCCAACCCTGTTCCTGGAGAGCCACCTTCCTGCAGATTTCAGTTGCAACCCATATCAAACACTTCTGCCTGTAATTATCACGTCGTGTTTAGGTCCTAATTAATTGATTCAGGTGTGTTTGATAAGGGTTGCAACTGAAATCTGCAGGAAGGTGGCTCTCCAGGAACAGGGTTGGCCACCCCTGTTATAGTCAGTCAATAACATGGACTTCTTAAAATGACTTAAACTTCTATGCGTTTAGAATTTAAATTCAAAATTGTTTTAATACATTTTATACAGTATATGAAACATAATTTCGGAAAAAAATTAAACATACTGACCTGACTTGGTGTATAAAACAAGAACATTAGTTCTGGTCCTAAGAAGTTTCTTGAAATCCTTATGGTCATTGACTTTTTCTATGAGTGGAGAAACCTTCACTGCCTGTAGGGCGGACGTCACTGCAACCTACGAAGGAGAAACAGAGAGAGATTTGCATTTTCCACTTTCAAGATTGAATACAACAGCTTGTTCAAAACAATGTGCCAAAATAGATAGTATTTGTGTGAAATCATGACAGGGTGTCAAACTCCGTGATGACAGAAGAAACAACAACAACCATTACAAAAAAGGGCCATTATAAGAAGCTACTTCACGTATCAGTTGCTTACCACTTTAAGATGAGTGGAAAGTCAGAGTTGGCCACAAAACAGGAAAAACATACTAAAAATTCTGATAAATTAATTAAACAAATGTAATAAAAAGAAAAAAAATATTGAAAAAGAAAATAAAATAAAGAAAAATGTTACAAGTGTAGAAATAGCAGTTAAAAAAACTACAAATAAAATAATAAAACTAAAACTAAACTAAAACAAAAATTAAAATTAAACTAAATAAAACTAAACAAAAGCTTAAACAAAACAAAAACTAAAACAAAACAATAACTAAAAACTAAAACAAGCCAAAAAACATTTAAAGTGTCCTAGAATTGCATTTGATGCGAGTTTCCCTGCTCTTTGCCACACTCTCCATTAGTCTTCCCCACAGAGGCATGTGATTCTGGTTTCAGATGGAGCTAAGCCGATAAAGTGACAACAGATAAAGGTGCTGTCATTTAAAAAAGGAGAAAAATGACAAGATCAGACAGGCCATGTCACAAACAGAGACAGCGACCTAGCCTATCATCCATCCTCATCATCTCCCATGCCACATGCTTGGCAGAAAATGACCAAGTTCAAATGAATGCTTAAAGTTTTGCAATGAGAATTAATTTGGTCAATCAAAATACTGTATTATAGAAAACTGACACATTTGAGACAGAGCTTCTATTTCTAAATACCAGATATTAAAGAGGATCTTACAAAGAATAATGCAAACTTTGAAAATAATACTGAATAACCATTTATTATGACAGTATATACAGAATTCCTGTGTTACACTCAAGGCCACATCACACTTACAGTAAGGTGGATGAGTTTTAAAGGGGTTTTAACATTAAGAAGCCACAAACAGTATGCTTAGATCTTTTGAGATGCATGATGTTCTAAAAACACTAACTTTCAGAACTTCTTTCTTGGTCAAAAACAGGCATTTATTAAAACTATGAGGTACACAAATATCTAAATTTAACATTTGTTTCTCTGTGGATCTCAAATTAACTTTTCAAGACAGCACATGATCATTTTAGACTGACTTAGAGAACATCGAGTGCTGCAGTGATGACGTGTTTTTGTAGGTCAACCCAGAAATTCAGAAAAAATGCCAGAAAAATCACCCTTATACCCTTGACAAAAAACAGCAGCAGCAGCAGCAAAAAAAGGCGTATAGATTATTGAAATGAAATAATTATTGTGAAAAAAATAAATAAATAAACTAAACCAAACTATAGTGAATCTTTGCAAGTCCACTTTATTAGAACCATTTCCAGATGCAAATAACAGGCTCTGTTAAAGCATTATACGGTATATAGTTATTCATTTTCTGCACAAATTGTATTATTATCAAATTTAAGAGTTTTATTTTAATGAAATAATTCATTTTAAAATGATAGGACTGACCACAGCAAAAAGAAAGAAAAAATAGAAAGCATGCAATTACAGTATAAGCATGAGGCTGTGAAAGCAGATTTATGAATAGATAAATTATTATTGATTTTTTTGTCATTATGGATAATAATATTCCTGACAACCTCTGAAGTGCACACTAGCCACTTATTATTACTAACCACCTTTTCCAAAACAAAGGAGTATTACATGTGTATTTTATTCTTATTTAATACATAACATTTTATGTTAGCAAAATAAAAATAATAAAGTATGAAAATAGCTTGAGTCAACCACAGACCTGATTTCAGACATTAAAGTCCCAACAAACCGGGACTTTTTTTTCGTATTGTAATGCAGTTCCTAGAAAAACAAAATTTAAAATGAGAAAACAGTGGGCGTGGCTTGTTTTTTTTTTCCTGCGAGTTGATTGGATGTATTAAAGTAGGCATTTCATTCTGAAACATGGGGAAAAGGGTTTGGTGAGAGTTATTACAATCTAACGGACACTTCCTTCTCACTATTTCAGTTTGCAGTCAAAACTGACTGTTGGAGGGGTGTGGTTAAGTATGGTAGCCACACCCAATACCTCAAAATCAAGTAATCTGAGAATTTAACAGAAAACAAACAAGAAGTGCATTTTCTGATTTCAATTAAAGATTAGAAGGGCAAACTATTCTTTTCCTAATGACATGCACAGATAAATTCTTCAACACAGTACGGCAATGTTAGCTAGCAAGATCATATGGTTAGTTTTGATTTCATGGGGACTTTATTAAAATTTTTTATGTTTTTAATGTAAAATTTTAAAAGTGCAATTATAAGCAAGGCTGTGAAAGCAGATTTATGAACAGATAAATAAATTTTTTTTTTTTTGCCATGATGAATACTAATATTCCTGATAACCTCTGTAGTAGCCACTTATTAGTAACCACCTTTTTATATTTTGTATTACTTGTATTTTTTTACTATGTATTTTTATGCTAATGTGATATATAACATTTAATGCTAATATAATACAATGTGCAAATATCTTAAGCTTGTTTCGACCACAGACCTGATTTCTGGCATCAAAACAAAAAACCAACCACACACACAACCTCCAAACTTTGGCCCCGTTTACACTGCAGTTAGATCTGTTCTATGACTGTGTCAACACGAAAAAAAAGAAAAAGAAAAACACATGCATTTGAATATTCAGAGAATGGTTTTGATAGATGGAAATAAATCAGATATAAATCGGATATTTGACAATGCGATTATCATGTAAACAGGCAGATCGGATTTATTGAGGCATTCCGTTTTGTACGTCATTAAACTTGCGACTATGTGGTGCTTCTCCGCAGATTAATGACATAGAAGAAACAGTATGTGTGGAGATATGAAAAATGGAGGAAGAAACGCCTTTACAAATGATCGACGTCGTAAATTGTATGGCAAGTGTAAATACATGAATCGTTTATGGGTCACAATTAAAAGAACGTGTAAACGAACAGACAAGAAAATCAGATATACTGTAGGCAGCAAATCGGAATTGGGCATCAAGACCTGACAGTGTAAACGGGGCCTATAGAACCACAGGTGCTGAAATCCCTATAAAAATGTCTCTGTTTATTTCAGTGAAGCGCTCTTTTAATATGCAAAGGAGGCGTGGCTATAAGACAAACCAATAAGAACTCTTTTCATTCTAGGGATCATTTAATAAGCTAAGGAAGCTTTAAAATACTAACAAATATTATAAGAGACATTAACGATAAAAAGACTTACACAATGCAATCCAAAAACAAACACCAGACAGTAGCTGTACATCTGCTGCACAAATTGACTGGCAACATCATTGGAGCATCACAGGAAAGGGTTGGTGAGAAACAAAGGTGCCTCAGACACTGACAACCTTCATCTTTCTACATGACAAAGCAAGACAAGCGCCATGCTCTCCCTCATTAAAAATCACACCTCACAACCTCTATAGAGAGAGACAAGGGCCAGCGGCCTGACTCAATTCATCACTGCACACTCTGTTGAGCAACAGCATCGCACGCAGAGCAAAGTTAAATAAACAAAGTGTCTGTTAGTCGAGCTTTATCATATGCAGACCTTAAAAACCTTAACCTGGAAACTTGACGCAGCAAGGGTACAAAATTAAAAGGTAAAGTAGGTAATTTTCTGCACTGCTAGCAGCACCAAATGCAATCGTAATGTGTCTCAGTGGTCTGATTGTTCCAGACGTAACAGTATTAGTTTTGTCTGGCATTACTTGTTTGTTTAAAAATGGCAAATGCTTGACCGTTAAAAGTCATTACGTCTAATTTATTAGGCATGCATACGTACTTATTTGTTTATATGTTGATGTTTATTGTCGCAAACTGGAAGAAAATTGCAATGGTGCCATGAAAAAAATTCAATACTTCCACTGTCATTGAATAATTATTACTAATAACAATATATTAATTGTATTATATCATAATTAATAACAGGGCTGGGCAATTGGGCCTAAAAATTGAAATCTCAATCAATTGAACATTTTAACTTGATTATGATTAATTAATTTTTTTGCTCTCATAGTTCACTGACAAGTTTTGTTCAGAAATTTCTGAATAAGGGGTGCATTACTTGATTTTAAAATAACTGGAAAAAAAAACAAAAAAAAAAAAACACTGTCTACCATCTATGATAATTTAATGAACATCAACATTGAACATCTGTAATTAAAACACACATTGCCTAAAACAAACAGTCACTTTTTTTCTTATGAAAAAGTGAAAATAAACAACTTGCACTTTTGGAAACACAATTAATTATTCTGAACGTTTTTCATATTAAAAAGTAGAAAATAAGCAGCATCTCTTCTAAATAAAATAACTCTTGTATATCCTGTAAATAATATTGTAAACTGGGCATTTCTTGAATCTTCTGTAAACAAATAAAGTAAATAATAATTTTCGTAATATAAAATATGCCTAAAGCATCACTGGTGCAGTCATTGTCAATTTAGTGCAAACGTTTGATGTTTAGTTACATTTTTTATAAATCAGCCTTAACTGAGCAGGGTCAAGTGACTCCACACGCAGTAGGGAATGGAATTGAAAAAAAATCGACCTAGAAATATTTGATCGATTATAGATTCTGAATGTCGATTTTGGTTACTTTTCAATTAATCTCCCAGCCCTAATTAATTATATAATTATTATAATAAATGAATTTAAGCTAAGTTTACATGATATCGAATAAGGGTGTCACGATTTCGATTTTAAATCGAAATCGATCAAAATTTATGCTCAATTTCGATTATCGAATAAAAAAATTGAATCGTCGATACTGCCACGCCCTCATGTCACGTCAGCTAGGCTTGCCAAGCGGGAAAAAGCCCGCTTGTTGAAGTGCTTGTTAAACTGTGCAGAGGCAGGAGACCCGTCGACAGAGCTT